ACGAAATTTAATTTAATTTGGCATTAAAAACTAGAACATAAAATGCAATTACATTTAAAAAGGAATAGAATAGAACAGAACAGGACAGAATTCAGCCTCAAAAACGGCTTTTCCTGTGAAATCTCCCCCCCAAAAAATAACGACGAGATGCGAATTTTATTGAGGTTTATATTATTTTATGTTTATTTAATAATTTTCCCTTTCCCCCCCATTTTTTCCCCGGCAAATCAAACTAAAACCAAAGTTTGAAGCCGTTTATTTTTGTTTTTTGGAGGATTTTTCTCCCCTGGAATACGGGAATTCCTCAGGAAAACCGGGGGTGGTTTTTGGGGTGGTTTTGATCTTTTAAAGAAATCTGAAATTCTTCCCGGCAAGAAACGGGAATTCTGAATTTTGAATAAAAAAATCTGAGTTTTTAATAAAAGCGGTGAGGGCGGGGCTGGATTTTTGCAGCCTTTTTTTGGTGCCAAATTCTCGATTTCAGGTAAAATTTGGGGATTTCCGCTGGAAAATCCTTCCCTCGCTGCCTTCCCGCTTTTCCAACAAAAAAATGTGAGTTTTGCCTCAAATCTTGGCAGGTTTGGGGGCGCTCAGAGGGAGCTCGAGCCTGGATTTGGGTTTTTTTGGGTTTTGGGGTTTTTTGGGATTTAGGAGGGGTTTGGGGTTTTGGGGATTTCTGGGTTTTTTTGGGATTTTGGGGGTTTTTGGTTTTGTGGGGAGTTTGGGGGGTTTTTGGGGTTTGGGGGATTTCTGAGGTTTTGGGATTTTGGGGATTATTGAGGTTTTGAGTGGGTTTAGGATTTCTGAGGTTTTTGGGGTTTTGGAGGTTTTTGGTGCTTGGAGATTTTTTTTTTGATTTTTTTTCCCCCAGAACGTTCTCTGGGCAAGACCAAAAGGTGAGAACAAACTCCGTGGGGGCAGAGGAACATTTCCCATTTCCCATTTCCCGTTTCCCATTTCCCGTTTCCCATTTCCCGTTTCCCATTTCCCATTTCCCATTTCCCGTTTCCCATTTCCCATTTCCCATTTCCCGTTTCCCATTTCCCGTTTCCCGTTTCCCATTTCCCGTTTCCCGTTTCCCGTTTCCCATTTCCCGTTTCCCATTTCCCATATAATATTGATTATATGGATTGTGTTGAATATATTAATGATATTGATTGTATTAATGATATTTATTATATGAAATGTATTAATTATGTGCATTATATGGATTATTATATTGATTATATGGAATGTATTAATTATATGCACTATATGGATTATATTGGTTATATGGATTGTGTGGAATATTTTCATTCTATTGATTATATTTATTATATCAATTATATGGATTCTATGGATTTATATTAATTACCCTGATTATGTGGAATGGAAATTGTTGTGTATCACTCCTATAAAATAAAGGAATGTGTGTAAATATGAGATTTGTGATAAAACCCAACCGTGGCAACGCGGCCGAGTCCCCTCGGAGCTCCTGCTCCCTCTGCCCGCCCATCCTGTCCTCAGGGGCACCTGCGCGGCTCCGGAATCCCGGATCCCGAAATCCCGGATCCTGAAATCCCAAAATCCCGGATCCCGAAATCCCAAAACTCCCGGATCCCGAAATCCCGGATCCCGAAATCCCGAAACTCCCGGATCCCGAAATCCCGGCTCCCGAAATCCCTAAATCCCCAAATCCGACATCCTGAAATCCCGCATCCCGAAATCCCGGATCCCCAAACCCATCCCAGATTCTGGAATCCCGCATCCCAACATCCCGCATCCCGAAATGCCGGGTCCTGAAATCCCTCATCCTGAAATCCTGAAATCCGGGATCCCGAAATCCTGGATCCTGACATCCCAGATCCCCAAACCCCGGGTCCCAAAATCCCGGATTCCAAAATCCCAGGTCCCAAAATCCCGGCTCCCGAAATCCCGGCTCCCGAAATCCCGGATCCCGAAATCCCGGCTCCCGAAATCCCGGGTCCCACTCCCAGCCCCCCCGGGGCTCTCCCGCTGCTTCCCGGGGCGGGTCGGGGGCTCCTGGGACAAACGGGAGAAACTCGGGATGGGGAAAAGGGACGGGATGGGGTTGTTGGGAAACTCAGGGGGAAAAAAGGGGAGAGCTGCGGCTGCTGGAGAAACTTGGGATGGCAAAAAAGGGATGAGCCCCGAGAGCCGCTGGTTTTGGGAGAGATTCCGGGGGGAAAAGGGATGAGCTGGGAGCGTTGCTCCTTTTTTGGGGGCTGAGATGGGAGCTCTGCTCGGTTTTGGGGGAAAAATGGGTGAGCCAGGAGAGCTGCGCGTTTTTGGAGAAATTCCAGGGGGGAAAAGGGATGCGCGAGGAGCGCTGCTCGTTTTTGGGGGCACACAGGGCCGGGCTGGGGGCGCTGCTCTGGTTTTTGGGAATTCATAAAACCCAACCGTGGCAACGCGGCCGAGTCCCCTCGGAGCTCCTGCTCCCTCTGCCCGCCCATCCTGTCCTCAGGGGCACCTGCGCGGCTCCGGAATCCCGGATCCCGAAATCCCGAAATCCCGGATCCCGAAATCCCGAATCTCCCGGATCCCGAAATCCCGGCTCCCGAAATCCCTAAATCCCCAAATCCCGGAATCCCGGATCCCGAAATCCCGGATCCCGAAATCCCGAAATCCCGGATCCCGACATCCCCAAATCCCGAAACCCCGGATCCCGAAATCCCCAAATCCCGAAATCCCGAAACCCCGGATCCCGACATCCCCAAATCCCACATCCCGAAATCCCTCATCCCAAACTCCCGAAATCCCGGATCGCGACATCCTGAAATCCCGCATCCCGAAATCCCGGATCCCCAAACCCATCCCAGATTCTGGAATCCCGCATCCCAACATCCCGCATCCCGAAATGCCGGGTCCTGAAATCCCTCATCCTGAAATCCTGAAATCCGGGATCCCGAAATCCTGGATCCTGACATCCCAGATCCCCAAACCCCGGGTCCCAAAATCCCGGATTCCAAAATCCCAGGTCCCAAAATCCCGGCTCCCGAAATCCCGGCTCCCGAAATCCCGGGTCCCACTCCCAGCCCCCCCGGGGCTCTCCCGCTGCTTCCCGGGGCGGGTCGGGGGCTCCTGGGACAAACGGGAGAAACTCGGGATGGGGAAAAGGGACGGGATGGGGTTGTTGGGAAACTCAGGGGGAAAAAAGGGGAGAGCTGCGGCTGCTGGAGAAACTTGGGATGGCAAAAAAGGGATGAGCCCCGAGAGCCGCTGGTTTTGGGAGAGATTCCGGGGGGAAAAGGGATGAGCTGGGAGCGTTGCTCCTTTTTTGGGGGCTGAGATGGGAGCTCTGCTCGGTTTTGGGGGAAAAATGGGCGAGCCAGGAGAGCTGCGCGTTTTTGGAGAAATTCCAGGGGGGAAAAGGGATGCGCGAGGAGCGCTGCTCGTTTTTGGGGGCACACAGGGCCGGGCTGGGGGCGCTGCTCTGGTTTTTGGGAATTCCGGGAGCAGGAGGGGCTGCTCTGGTTTTTGGGAATTCGGGGAGCAGGAGGCGCTGCTCTGGTTTTTGGGAATTCCGGGAGCAGGAGGGGCTGCTCTGGTTTTTGGGAATTCGGGAGCAGGAGGGGCTGCAGGCTGCGAGGGCGGCCCCGGGGGTCGGGCCCGGGCCGGGGGTCCCGGCGGCTCCGGGGGAGCTTCCGGAGGGTCCCTTTGAGTTTCAAATGAGCCCGGGGGCTTTGTAGTGCCCGCCGCAGCCGTGCCCTGCTGCTCACCCCGGCCTGCCCCTCCTCACCTGGCACCGCGCTAATCCCGGGCCTGGCCCGGCCCCAATCCCGGGCCTGGCCCGGTTCCCATCCGTGCCTAACCCGGCCCCATCGCGGTTCCTGCACAGGGGTCCCCGCGCGTGGTTTTTGGGTCCGTTTTGGTGTTTTCCTCGTGACCTTTTGCAAATTGCGGCTGGAAGAAAACCCCCTTTTCGCCTCTTGCCCTCTGGTTTTCCCCCCTCTTCTCTCGGAGCTAATCGGGTTCTCTAAAATCTTTAATTGGGAGCAAATCCCGCTCCGATGCCGGCCCCGCTCCCTCTCCCTGCCCCAGCGATGCTCCGAGACCCAAATCGGGGCGGATTCTGAGCCTTTTTTGGGGCGAGATGGTTCGTTTTAGTGCTTTCCTCCTGACCTTTTGCAAATCGCGACTGGACGAAAATCCCCTTTTCACCTTTTCCCCTCGATTTTTCCCCCTCTTATCTCGGAGCTAATTGGGCTCTCCAAACCCTTTTTTTTTTTTTCCCGAGAGAAAGGAGTGTATTAGAGCGGGGAGAGATGTTATCTGCGGGGCAGAGCGGAGCCCGGGGCCCCGCAGCAGCCGCGGCAGGTACTTCCCTCCTCGTCCCTCATCCCTCATCCCTCATCCCTCACCCCTCGTCCCTCACCCCTCGTCCCTCACCCCTCGGCCGCGTCCCCCGGCCGCCCCCGCCGAGCAGATTTGCAAATTTACCCAAGGCCGAACAATGGATGCTCCTGGCAGCCCCTCTGTTGACTTGTTTAGAAATCCCAGAGGCGTTTCGAGGTAAAAAGGTCAGAGCTGCACCGGGCCCGCTCTTCCTCCCTCCCCTCCGTCCCTCCCTGGAGGGAAAACCCCGAAATTCGGTTTATTCTGGGCGAAATCGCCTTTTAGGGCCGGCCTTGGGGCAGCGCAAGGGAATGAAGCACGTTGGACGCTTCGTTTTTTGGGGTTGGAGGCGCGTGAATTCGGAATAAATCAGAGATTCAGAAAAGAAAAATTCAGGAATTCAGAAATTCCTCCCATCCCGGTTTCTGCGGGATGCGAATTCCCGGATTTTCACCCCGGGGATGATTTCCTGCTCTCGTCAGGCCGGGAAATGAGAATTCCACGAGGGAAGCCGGGCCCGATTCCAGGAACGGGGATCGGCCCCTTTGTTTGGGGTCCTCGGAACGGCCGCTGACTTTTCCTTCCTCCTCCTCCTCCTCCTCCCGCCCCGCATCCCGCAATTCCCAGAGATTCCCACTGTGCTGGAAGGATGGGATTTGAGGAGAAACAAAAAAAAAAAAATCAACTTTATTGGGCTGAGGTAGCTCCGTGTGGGATGCGGGGAGGTTCCGCCGGAGGAAGCGCTCGGGGTTCGGGATAATCCCATTTTTCCAGCAGCTTTGCGGTCCCGAATCGCCTCGCGAGGGAGGGAGGGCGTTAGGCCGCGCTCAAATCTCGGCTTTATCTGGCTGCGATAAGCCCGAGAGGGTGCGAGGAGCGCGCTGGGGCTTTGAGGAGCTCCCAAAACTCCCCAGGGCCTCTCGCACCTCCTGCCACAGCCCCGGCTCCTTCCCCCATAACAAAAACCCCGTCCCCTCCTCCGCCCGCAGCAGCAAAAATCGCGTGGGGAAAAAAATAAACCCTGTCAAGCAGAAATAGTGCAAAGCGGGAGCAGAAAATTGCGCTTTTTCGCTTTTTTTTTGCCTTTTTTTTGTTTCTTTCCTGAGGGTTTGGCTCTTTGCAGAGGCCTCGAGCGTCTTGGGCGCCTCGGGTCTCGTTTCAAGATCTGCAATCAGGAAATAAAAGGGAAAGGAAGGGGGGGAAATGCCCGTAACTTTTTTTTCTTTCTTTTTTTTTCTTATTTTCTTTTTTATAATCTCACGAGGAGGAAAAACGCATCGGGCAGGGGGGAAGAAAAAAATACCACCAAACACGTTGCTCTCGTTTCTGCAAAGGGAAGCGAACTAAACTGAAGGTTTTTTGCTGGGTTTTCTGGGTTTTTTTGGGCTTTTTTGTTTTTGTTTCGTTTCGTTTTGTTTTCCTGGATTGAAAGTGCAGTTCCTAAGGGAAGGGGGAAGGCAGAGAAGTCCCTGAGACACGGAAATTGCTGCGGCCGCTCCTTGGGAGTCCAGCGCCTGCAGAGGGGCCATAAATAAAGAGGGAGCCGCGGGCGGTGCCGCACGCGCGGGGACAGCGCGGAGGGTCCGGGGGGCTCGCAGCCCCCCGGGGACACCCCCGGCAGCTTTCGGGAGCCTTCAGGAGGAGCTGGAGCTGGGCGAGGCCTCGGGCGAGGACTGATCCGAGCCCTCGGCCGCCTCCTTGGGCGCCCTGCCGGCAGCGGCCGGGGCCAGCCCTTCCTTCTCCCTCTTCTTCTGCTTCATCCTCCTGTTCTGGAACCAGATCTTCACCTGCGTCTCGTTGAGCTCCAGGGTGGCGGCGATCTCCACCCTGCGGGCCCGCGTCAGGTACTTGTTGAAGTGGAACTCCTTCTCCAGCTCCGTCAGCTGCTTGGTGCTGAAGTTGGTGCGGATGGCGTTGGGCTGCCCCAGGAGCCCCAGCTCCGACGTTTTGCCTGAAAACCCCAAAAACCACCAGGGCAGGAGCGGCCGGAGGGATCCTCGCACTGAGGGGTCTCCCCTTCTCCCTCCCCCCGCAGCGCCCCGAGCCCTGCGCTCCCTCCCGGCCCCGCTCGGCCTCGGCCCGGCTCGAGTCCCGCTCCAGCTCCGCCTTTCCCGGAGATCCACCCGGAGATCCCGGAGATCCACCCGGAGAGCCATCCCCTCATCCTCCCGGCTCCACTTTTCCCCTGGGTTTTCCCCCATGATCCATTCCCTGGGTTTTCCCCCGGGATCCATTCCCTGGATTTTTCCCTCAGGATTCATCCCCTGAGTTTTTTCCTCCTGGTTTCCATTCCCTGAGTTTTCTCCCCGGGATCCATCCCCTGGGATTTTTTCCCCAGGATCCATCTCCTGTTTTTTTCCCCTTGGACCCATTCCCTGGGATTTTTTCCCCAGGATCCATCCCCTGGGTTTTTCCCCTTGGACCCATTCCTTGGGGTTTTTCCCCAGGATCCATCCCCTGGGTTTCCCCTGGGTTTTTTTCCCCGGGATCCATCTCCTGTTTTTTTCCCCTGGGATCCATTCCCTGGGTTTTTCCCTGGGTTTTCCCCCAAGATCCATCTCCTGGGGTTTTTCCCCAGGATCCATTTCCTGTTTTTTTCCCCTGGGTTTTTCCCCTTGGATCCATTCCCTGGGGTTTTTCCCCAGGATCCATCTCCTGTTTTTTTCCCCAGGATCCATTCCCTGGGTTTTTCCCCTGGGTTTCCCCCCAAGATCCATCCCCTGGGTTTTTTCCCCCGGGATCCATCTCCTGGTTTTTTTCCCCCGGGATCCATCTCCTGGGGTTTTTCCCCTGGGTTTCCCCCCAAGATCCATCTCCTGGGTTTTTCCCCCAGAATCCATCCCCGGACCCCGCGGGGAGGGCTGGAAGGGGAGGCCTGGGTTTTTCCCCTGGGTTTCCCCCCAAGATCCATCCCCTGGGTTTTTTCCCCCGGGATCCATCTCCTGGTTTTTTTCCCCCGGGATCCATCTCCTGGGGTTTTTCCCCTGGGTTTCCCCCCAAGATCCATCTCCTGGGTTTTTCCCCCAGAATCCATCCCCGGACCCCGCGGGAAGGGCTGGAAGGGGAGGGAGAGGGTGATGATGGCGGGGGAGGAGGAGGAGGAGGAAGGCCGGGGTTTCAGGGAAGGTGGCGGGGAAGGAAGTGGAACAATAGAGGAGGGGATGGAAGGCGCGGCTGAGGAAGGAGGAGGAAGCGCCGAGCGTTTCCTGCTCCGAGCTGGGCTTAAATCAGACTCGGGCCTGCGGGAAGCCGAGCCCAGGAACGCTCCATGGGGTGTGGTGGAAAATCTCTGGGTGGGGTTTAAGAAAAAGGCCCCAAAACCCAAAGCAAGCCAACCCAAACACCAAAAAAAAATCCACCTCCAAACCCAAAACAAAGCCTCAAACTCCAAACCAAGCCAACCCAAACACCAAAAAACCCCAAAACCCAAACCAAGCTAAACCCCAAGGCCCCAAACGCCAAACCAAGCCAACCCAATCACCAAAAAATCTGCCCCAAAACCCAAACCAAGCTAAACCCCCAAAAAAAGGCCCCAAACCCAAACCAAGCCAACTCAACCACCCAAAAAAAACCCACCCCAAAACCCAACCCCCCAAAAATTCCCCAAAACCCAACCCCACCCAAGCCGTGCCCCACTGGAAGGCGCCTCCCAGCCCCGGGGGGCTCAGCACTCCCGGCCCCCCGACTCACCTGTTTTGGGGGGGTTCCTCTTCACCCTCATCCACTCGAAGGTCAGCGCGGCCCCGGCCCTGGCGCCGGGCTGGGGGTGCCCGGGGGGCTGGGGGTGCCCCGGGGGCTCGGGGTGCCCCGGGGGCTCGGGCTCCCCCAGCAGCGCCGCCGGGAGCTCGCCGTAGAGGCCGGGCAGGCAGCCGGGCTGCTCGGGCCCGAAGGCGGGCGGCTGCAGCTGCCCCGCGGGCCCGCAGTAGCCCTGGGCCAGCGAGCCCGAGCCGAAGGCGGCCGCGGGCAGGTAGAGCCCGTCCGCGTCCTGCTGGCCCGCGTAGAGCTGCTGGTAGCCCGGCTGGGCCGGGTAGCCCGGGCTGGCGAAGCGCGAGGAAGAGGAAGAGGAGGGAGGGGGGAAGCTGTGCTGCGCGAGGTGGCCGGGGCCGGGCAGGCCGAAGTGGCCATCGGAGGCCGGCGTGGGGCTACCTGAGCACGGCGGGAAGGAGGGCGAGGCCGGCTCGGGGTGGTGCTGGAAGGCGGCGGTGCCGCGGTTACAAATTGCGAACTCCAAGAAGGAGTTCATGGCGGTATTGTCCATCTGCCAGTGATGGAGGAGGGTCAGCCCGTTTTGGGGGCGATGCCGCCTGCCCTACAACCTTTGGGTACTATGTCAAAGCTGGGAAACTTCCTGCCGGGCATGGGGGACCCCGAGGAGCCGCGGCCGAGCCGGGGGGGACCCCGCGGGCGGAGCGGGCCCAGCCCAATGAGCGCGGGGCTCCCGAAGTTTGCGGCCGGCTCCGGGCTCATCCATCACGGCCGTGACATTTGCATGACAAAGGGGCTTCAATCAAACCCGGCCCATCAATCTGATAACAACACGGACGCGTCAAAACCTTCTCCTCAAAGACTTTAAAAGAGAGAGGGGCGAGGCGGGGTGCGGGGAGGCGCTGCGGTGGGGGGCAGGAGGGATCGCAGTGACCCGCGAGTGGTTTTTAAGTGCTAAAAAGGGCCCCGAGTTATGCGAGGAGCCGGCTTCAGGCACAAGTCCCGACTTTCAAAGGTTTTCCCCCCGGTGCCGGCTCGGTGTGAGGAGAAGAAAAGAGGGCGAGGGGCTGGGGAGGTGCGAGCACAAAAGGATGCGCTTTTATTCGCTCGGGAACTTCTCCCCTCCAAGCGCCTCGCACCAAAGCGCCGCGCTCTTCTCCGGGATGCTGAACGCCCCCGAAGGGAAATCCGCTCCGTTTGGGCTTTAATTTCCTTTCATTTCCCCCGCCCGGGCTTTGTGCGCCCTAATTAGATCAACATTCTAATGAGGAGGCCAAATAAAGTTAGCGAGGGCAGAGCGGCTTTTGTTGGAGCCGTGCCAGGCCCGGCCTGGCAGGGCCGGGCTGGGAGCTGAGCCCGAGCCCTGCGACGGCCTGGGGACCCTCCCGTCCGTCCGGGCGCTAAACCCGGGTTTAGGGGCTCAGGCACTGCACGTTCCCTGCTAAACCCGGGTTTAGGGGCTCAGGCACTGCACATCCCCTGCTAAACCCGGGTTTAGGGGCTCAGGCACTGCACATTCCCTGCTAAACCCGGGTTTAGGGGCTCAGGCACTGCACATCCCCTGCTAAACCCGGGTTTAGGGGCTCAGGCACTGCACATTCCCGGCTAAACCCGGTTTTAGGAGCTCACGCACCTCGCACTCCGGACTAAACCCGGGTTTAGGGGCTCACGCACTGCACATTCCCTGCTAAAACCGGTTTTAGGGGCTCACGCACCGCACGCTCCCTCCCAACCCCGTTTTTTCGGGGTTCCCCGCAGCCGTGGCACTCTGAGCTCAGCTTTGCTGCCCTCAGCGGGCTCCGGCTGAGGAGGAGGAGGAGGAGGGCAGAGCCTGCCTCCAGGCCGGCCCCAGAGAATGGGAACAGAGGTGGGCAACATTTATTTACTTGTTCCGCGCGGGGAGACAAGAGCAGCGGGCAGCCGGACGCCCACAGCCATTTGTTACTTGTCAGGAGATTTACTGCCCGGCCACGCTCCGGGAGCCGCTCCTCGCCCTTCTCCCGGGCCAAAAGTTCACCCCGAGCGCCAAACCCGGGCGGAAAATCCCTCCCGGCTGCTGCCACACCTCGGCGGGGACATTTGGTGACAAATTCCAGCCCGGCAGCGATGTTTCCCCTCTTTTTTCAAGCTGGAAATTTGATTTTTTTTAGCCCGTTCCAGCTGCTGCGCTTCCATTTAAAAATTAAAGTTTCCATTCCTGCGCCTGTTTATTCATTTATTCACATTTATTCCCATTTCTTCCCGCTCTGCTGGCGCTGGGAGGCCCCGAAATGAAAATATTTGAGGTTATAAACGTGCTTCAAAACTCTCTCCTGCCTTCTTTGCATAACTCACAGCGGCTCTCCCGTCATTCCCCGGGCAGCAAAAATCGATTTCTAATTCGATTCCTCTGATATTTCGTTGCGTTCGGGTTCAAATGGATGATTTATGGCTGGAAACGGGAAAAAAAAGAGAAAATGCAGATGTTTATTCCGGCCTGGAATCGGTGGGTTTGTGATTCCTGGTGGTTTCCCACCGCGATCTCGCTCTGCTATTACATTAAAGGGATTTTTTTAAAATGAAAATCACGAAAAATCGCGATTTTTTCAGTTGTGGCGGGGAAACTTTTCCTCTAAGCCAAGCCTAAATTAGAGCTGAGGTGAAAAATCCGATTTTTTTTGTTGTTGTTTTGGGGTTTTTTTGGGTTTTTTTTGGTGGCTGGGACAGGGCTCCCAAAATTGGAGGCAGAATTGGTGAAATTGTGCAAAATTCAGCCTGAAATGGGGACGGGCCGCGGGGCTGGGGTTTAGGGCTGGGATCACTTCGGGAATTGGGGGAAAATCGCTTTTTTTGGGTTCCTAACGCTCAGATGAGGGATTGAGGGCTGGGATCACCTCAGGATTTGGGGAAATTCGGGGTTTTTTGGGTTCCTAACACCCAGAGGAGCGATTTGGGGCTGGGATCGTCTTGAGACTTTGGGGAAATCGCGGGTTTAAGTCCCTAAGGCTCACATGAGGAGTTTAAGGCTGGAATAATGTGGAGAATTGGGGAAAATCGCTTTTTTTTGTTGGTGCTGAACGTTCACAGGAGGGATTTAGGGTCGGGAACACTTCGGGGTTTGGGGAAAATCGCTTTTTTTTGGTTCCTAACGCTCAGAGGAGGGGTTGAGGGCTGGGATCACTTCAGAAATTTGGGAAAATCGCTTTTTTTTTTTTTTTTTTTTTTGAAACACCGGCAGAACCCGGGCTGGAGGAAGGGCCCCGTTCCCAACCCCCTCCCAGCACCTCCGGGATGCTCCGGCCCCCCCGGCTGCCCCAAAATCCCAATTTCTGCCCCCAATTCCGCCTCGTGAGGAGCATTTCGGGAAGGCCCTGGGGGGAACCCTCAGCTCTTGGTTTTTAAGTCGTTATTTTAAAATCTTTATTTGAAATCTTTATTGGAAACCTTCATTTGAAATCTTCATTTTAAAAGCATTTTAAATCTTGACTTTGAGTCCTGATTTGAAACCTGGATTTGAGATCTGCGTTTTAAATCTTGATTTGAAATCTGTATTTTCAATCTCGAGTTTAAATCTGTATTTTTTAATCTTGAACCGGGGAGGTTTTTTTGTGCAGGCACAGAGGAGGAACGAGGCATTTCCAAGGGCTCGGAGAGTCTCCAGATGCTTCGTTTTTGGGCTCAAACACAGCTTTTTGGGGGTTAAATGGAACTTTTTCCAGGTTCAATGTAACTCCTCAGAAGTTAAACATAACTTTTTAGGAGTTAAATATAACTTTATGGGGGTTAAAAATAACTTTTTGGGGGTTAAAAATAACTTTTTGGAGACTAAATAGAACTTTTTGGGCGTTAAATGTAATTTTTTAGGGAAGCCTCAATCAGAGCTGAGGCGGCTCTGAGATGAAAAAGTCGATTTTGGGGTTTTTTTTTGGTTTTTTGGGGTTTTTTTTTGTGGATGAAAAGGTCGGATGGGAAGGGAGAGAAAAGAGGCGCGGGAGGGATTGGATGAGTTAGACATCGGGTCATCCGCAGGAAAAAAGGCAAATCCCCAGAAATTCGGATAAAATATATTTTAAAAAAAAGGGGGGGGTGTGTGGAACACAGAAAATCCCAAATAATGCAGATAAAATAAAATTTAAAAGGTAAAAAAGGGGAAAAAACCCAAATAATTCAGATAAAATAGGGAAATAAAACGGGGGGAAAGCTCAGGTAATTCAGATTTTTGTAATTAAAAAAAAGCCCAGATAATCCAGATAAAGTGAAATAATTTAAATAATTTTGGGATCAGGTTCCTGCTCCCTGGCTCGGGGAGTCCTGTCCTGTTCCCTGGGAATCCCAGCGCCTTTTCCATGGGCTGGAACCCGCCTCGCCTCATTAATTAGGGTCATTTGCATATTCATTACTGCCCCAGAGTGGAGAGGAGGGGTCTGGAGCCGCTGCCCTCGGGGGGGGATTTGGGGGGTCCCAAATCCCTGGGGGTTCCCTCAGATCCCAAATCCCTTGGGTTTCACTCAGACCCCTCAAACCCCAAATCCCCGGGGGTTCCCTCCAATCCCAAATTCCTTTGGGGTTCATTCAGACCCCAAATCTAACTGGGGGTCCCAAATCCCTCAGGATTCCCCCAGATCCCAAATCCCCAGGAGTTCTCTCAGATCCCAAATCCCTGGGGACCCCCTCGGATCCCAAATCCTTCGGGGATCATTCAGATCCCAAATCCCCTGGGATTCCCTCAGATCCCAAATCTGAGGGTCCCAAATCCCTGAGGATGCCCCCAGATCCCTCCATATCCCCTCGGATCCCAAATTCCTGGGTTCCCTCCGATCCCAAATCCCCGGGGATCATTTAGATCCCAAATCCCTGAGATCCCCTCTGATCCCAAATCCCTGGGATCCCCTCGGATCCCAAACCCAGGCCCTGCGCCCGGGCTCGTTCCCGCCGTGATCAATGGCCGATATCGGCAGCTCGGCTTTATCGATACCGGGACTCCCGAGACCCAAATCCGCCCTTTATTCCCATTTTTTCCCCCCCCGATTTCAGCCCCCAGCGAGGAAATCAAAGCGGGACAAACCCGGGATGTTCCAGGACAAGGTTCCCTCTCCCAGCTCCGCCCTTTGGGGCCGGAGCAGCTCTGGATGGAAAACTGGGAACGGGTGAGAGGGAAAAGGAAAGAGAAATCAGAGAAATCGAGGGGGAAATAAAAGAGAGGAGGAAAAAAAAAGAAAATTCCCAAGAATTTTCCCAAACCCCGCAGAAGTCCCGGGAAGAGGGAGCTCCTGCCCTGCCCTCGCAGGCCCCGCTCCCGCTGGGTTTCTGCTCCAGGGAAGGTTCCCAGGCCGCTCCCGCACCCCCAGCTCTGCTCCTGGGCAAACCCCCGCACCCCTCCCGCAGCAGCACAAATCAACATTTCCTCAGCAGCCGCCCGCACGCCGCTCATTTGCATACCCCCGGCTTAATTACCGCCAGGCAACCGCCGCGTTTTGCCAGCAATCAAGGGCCTGAATATGCTTCATACGCTTAATTCGCTTAATTAACGCCCTCCAGCCGCGCGGAGCAGAAGCGCGGGGCCGCGGAGCCGCGCTCCCCGCGCGTTTGGCGTTTCGGAGAGGGCAAAGAACGGCCGAGCTAATGGCGGAGAACCGCAGCCATCCGAGAACCCAGATCTTATTGAACATCCCCCTTCTCTCCTCCCGAACGCTCCGGCCTCGCTAATTAGGACCAATCAGGCGGGCCCTGATCGGGGGGTGACAACTGCGGGGCTCCGCTCATGGAGCGCCTTCCGCGGGCGCGGGATCCATCGGGGCCGCGCCGGGAGCGCATCACGGGCTCGGCAGGGAGCGGTGCCCGGGGGGGCTCGGGGCTTCGGCGGGGGGCTTTGGGGTCCCTCTCCCATCCTCATCAGGGATTGGTGTCGATAAGAACTCGGGATTCAATTTAGGGAGGGGTTTGGGGTCCCTTTTCCCACCCTCATCAGGGATTGGTATCGATAAGATCTTGGGGTTTAATTTAGGGAGGGGTTTGGGGTCCCTTTCCCACCCTCATCAGGGATTGGTATCGATGAGGGCTCGGGATTCAATTTAGGGAGGGCTTTGGGGTCCCTTTCCCACCCTCATTAGGGATTGGTGTCGATAAGAACTCGGGATTTAATTTAGGGAGGGGTTTGGGGTCTCTTTCCCACCCTCATTAGGGATCGGTATCCATAAGATCTCGGGGTTTGATCTGGGGAGGATTTGGGGTCCCTTTCCCCACCCTCATCAGGGATTGGTATCCATGAGGTCTCGGGGTTTAATTTGGCTAGGGGTTTGGGGTCTCTTTTCCCACCCTCATCAGGGATTTGTAGAGATAAGAACTGGGGGTTTAATTTGGGGAGGGGTTTGGGGTCCCTTTTCCCACCCTCATCAGGGATTTGTAGAGATGAGGTCTCGGGCTTGATTTGGGATGGGGTTTTGGGGTCCCTTTCCCCACCCTCATGAGGGATTGGTATGGATAAGATCTCGGGGTTTGATTTGGGGTGGTTTTGGGGTCTCTTTTCCCACTCCCATCGGGGATTTGTGGAGATAAGGACTTGGGGTTTAATTTGGGGAGGGGTTTGGGGTCCCTTTTCCCACCCTCATCAGGGATTGGTATCGATGAGGGCTCGGGGCTTCGGCCGGGGGGCTTTGGGGTCCCTCTCCCACCCTCATCAGGGATTGGTGTCGATAAGATCTTGGGGTTTAATTTAGGGAGGGGTTTGGGGTCCCTTTTCGCACCCTCATCAGGGATTGGTGTCGATAAGAACTCGGGATTTAATTTAGGGAGGGGTTTGGGGTCTCTTTCCCACCCTCATTAGGGATCGGTATCCATAAGATCTCGGGGTTTGATCTGGGGAGGATTTGGGGTCCCTTTCCCCACCCTCATCAGGGATTGGTATCCATGAGGTCTCGGGGTTTAATTTGGCTAGGGGTTTGGGGTCCCTTTTCCCACCCTCATCAGGGATTGGTATCGATGAGGGCTCGGGGCTTCGGCCGGGGGGCTTTGGGGTCCCTCTCCCACCCTCATCAGGGATTGGTGTCGATAAGATCTTGGGGTTTAATTTAGGGAGGGGTTTGGGGTCCCTTTTCGCACCCTCATCAGGGATTGGTGTCGATAAGAACTCGGGATTTAATTTAGGGAGGGGTTTGGGGTCTCTTTCCCACCCTCATTAGGGATCGGTATCCATAAGATCTCGGGGTTTGATCTGGGGAGGATTTGGGGTCCCTTTCCCCACCCTCATCAGGGATTGGTATCCATGAGGTCTCGGGGTTTAATTTGGCTAGGGCTTTGGGGTCTCTTTTCCCACCCTCATCAGGGATTTGTAGAGATAAGAACTGGGGGTTTAATTTGGGGAGGGGTTTGGGGTCCCTTTTCCCACCCTCATCAGGGATTTGTAGAGATGAGGTCTCGGGCTTGATTTGGGATGGGGTTTTGGGGTCCCTTTCCCCACCCTCATGAGGGATTGGTATGGATAAGATCTCGGGGTTTGATTTGGGGTGGTTTTGGGGTCTCTTTTCCCACTCCCATCGGGGATTTGTGGAGATAAGGACTTGGGGTTTAATTTGGGGAGGGGTTTGGGGTCCCTTTTCCCACTCTCATCAATGATTGGTATCGATGAGGGCTCGGCGCTTGAGCTGGGGGGGCTTTGGGGTCCCTTTTCTCACCCTCATCCAGGGATTTGTAGAGATGAGGTCTCGGGCTTGATTTGGGATGGGGTTTTGGGGTCCCTTTCCCCACCCTCATGAGGGATTGGTATGGATAAGATCTCGGGGTTTGATTTGGGGTCCCTTTTCCCACCCTCATCAGGGATTTGTAGGGATAAGATCTCGGGGTTTAATCTGGGGTGGTTTTGGGGTCTCTTTTCCCACTCCCATCGGGGATTTGTGGAGATAAGGACTTGGGGTTTAATTTGGGGAGGGGTTTGGGGTCCCTTTTCCCACTCTCATCAATGATTGGTATCGATGAGGGCTCGGCGCTTGAGCTGGGGGGGCTTTGGGGTCCCTTTTCTCACCCTCATCAGGGATCGGTATCCATAAGATCTCGGAGTTTGATCTGGGGCGGTTTTGGGGTCTCTTTTCCCACCCTCATTAGGGCTTTTTATCAATAAGAACTCGAGGTTTAATTTGGGGGGTTCGGGTCCCTTTTCCCACCCTGATTAATAATTTTTATCGATGAGAACTCTGGGTTTAATCCGGGGGGTTTAGGGACCCCTTTCCCACCCCTTTGCCCGGGGGTCCCTCCTGTCCCTCCCTCGGCCTCGCCCTTCCCCTCCTCCCTTCCCCAGGGGAAAAGGGCGTGGGAATGTGGAAATCCGCCCGTTTGGGACATTTCCTCTCATTTTGGGGCTGAAGAGCATCTCAGTGTGGAAATCCGCCGCTTTTTGGGTATTTTCTCCTCATTTTTTCAGCTGGATGCAGGAGGGGCCGTCCCTGGAGAGGCCAAAAGGACGCTCAGACCCCAAAAACCATCCCGGGGCAGGGCCGAGCTTCCCCTGCTGGCCCGGAGTGGGGGAGGAGGAGGAGGAGGAGGAGGAGGAGGAGGGGAAGTGTGGGAAGCGCTGGAACAAATGGCGCTTTGATAGACCCCGGCTGGCAGCTCCGAGCGCTCCGCAGCCCCCGGGGCATTAAATCAACCCCAAAATCACGAATCGCCTCCCGCGGGGCTCCGCTGCCCCCCAGACTCGCGGCTCGGGGACCCCCGGAGCGAGCGGGGGCGGTGGGAGAGGGGCAGGGGGTGCTGGTGCCTCCCGGGAGCCTTTTCCGTGCGGGAGGGGGGGTTTGGGTGTTCAAACATTCCGATATTCACGGCTGGGGTGGATATTGATCCCGATAAACCGCGCCGCCGCCCGGAGCGGGGCTTTGGAGCTGCCGCCTCCTCTCCTGGAGAGAAGATTTGGGAAAAGATGATTCGGAATCAAATGTGGCCCTAAAGTCACCCCGCCTCCTCTTTGTTCGAGCCGAGGGAGATCATCCACAGCGATCTCCAAAACATCTGTCGAGCCTTTGCCTTCTTTTATTTCACTTTTATTTATTTTTTTCTTTCCGGCCCGGAGTGGGAACCCAGCCCGGCCCCGCTGCTTTGAACCCCAAATAAAAGATCCCAAATTCTGAGAGGGGGGATGACCCCGCCCAGGCACTGAAAACACCAAATTCACCCCAAAAATCTGCCTGTGGGCTGGGGGGACACCCCAAAAGCCGAGCGGGGCAGCTGGGTTTGCTTCACCCTACAGAAAAAGGGGCTGGGGGAGGGCCTGGGCTGCTCCGCTCACTTTTAGGGTCGCCCCCCGCCCCATATTTCCCATCCCCCCGGGCTCAAACCCCTCCTGGACTCCTCCCAGCACTTGGGAAACCCCAAAGACTCCTTCGGGTCATTCCTTTGGGATAACAAGCCAGAAACCCCCCCCAAACCCCCCCCGGGACGAGTTTTGGGGTGAAAACCCCGCGAGGGGAGGAAGATTTGAAAGGGATGCGAGAAATCCCAAATGAGATCGAGGATCCGGGGGGGTTTGGGGTCTGTGGGGCTGGAAAAGGGAGGAGGAATAAAAGGGGTTTGTGGGGTTGGGAGAGGAGGAATAAAAGGGATTTGGGGGTTTATGGGGTTGGGAAAGAGAGGAGGAATAAAGGGGTTTTAGGGTTGGAAAAGTGAGGAGGAATAAAGGGGTTTTAGGGTTGGAAAAGGGAGGAGGAATAAAAGGGGTTTGGGGGTTTGTGGGGTTGGGAAAGAGAGGAGGAATGAAGGGATTTTGGGGTTTGGAAAGAGAGGAGGAATAAAAGGGGTTTTAGGGTTAGAAAAGTGAGGAGGAATAAAAGGAGGTTCTGGGGTTTGTGGGGTTGGAAAAGTGAGGAGGAATAAAGGGGTTTTGGGGTTGGGAAAGGGGGGATGAATAAAGGGGTTTGGGGATTTTGGAGTTGGAAAAGAGAGGAGGAATAAAGGGGTTTTGGGGTTTGTGGGGTTGGGAAAGAGAGGAGGAATAAAAGGGGTTTTGGGGTTTAGGGGTTGGGAAAGGGAGGAGGAATAAAAGGGGTTTTAGGATTGGAAAAGTGAGGAGGAATAAAAGGAGGTTCTGGGGTTTGTGGGGTTGGAAAAGAAGGGAGGAATAAAAGGGGTTTTGGGGGTTTTGGGGTTGGGAAAGGGAGGAGGAATAAAGAAAAGCCCCCCAGGCCCATCCCTTACCCTCCTTCTCTCACGTTCATTTGGTCACCCCAACGTGTGGAATTTTTTTTGAGCTTTTACCCCAAATCCTCCTTTTTTTCCTCGTTTCTTCGCAGCTCCGGACGTTTCAAAGCCCGGGAGCCGCGGTGGATTCTGAGAGAAAGAGGAGGAGGAGGAGGATGGGGATGAAGGGCGGGATGGGGGTGTGGGAGGCCGGGAATGGCCCCGGAATTCGCGTGGGCTCCGCGCTGCCTTTGTGTTGTTTTTCCATCCCTTTATCGCCTTTTTTTAGGGTTTTTATTTGGGATTTTTTTCGGTTTTTTCCCCTTAAATTAGAGGATTTTTCCCGTCCCCGAAGCAGAATCCCAAAATGTTAAAATTAAGGAAGAAACCACCCCGCTTTGATTGAATACAATAAATAAATGAATGGATAAATAAATAAACACCAAGCTGGAGGGAAATGAAACAGGATGCAGGGAATATTTCCTCTGGAATTGTTGGTTGGGAGCGATTTCTTTTGTCTCCTCTCAGGGAACACGAGGAGATTATTAAACCTCACTAAAAAGCAGAGAAAAAGCGAGTGATTTATGGAGGAAAACAAAAAAAAGCGCTTTTTTGGAGAGAAATCCAGAGTAAACACACGTTCGTCGCTTTTATAAAGATGTTTATTTACTCTATGAAAATAATATACAATAAATAATTTGCCCTTTGCTACGAAAGGATTTGAATAAATAATCTACATCTAAAACGTAAAAAGAGGAAGGAAAATTCCCCTGATTTTTTTTTTTTAAATTTTATTTTAAAAATTTTATTACGAAATCTAAAAGTCTCGTTCTGATTCCTGAGAAAGTCGCTGGGGAGGAGGATTTATAAATTTAATTTATTTTTTCTCTCGAGGGGCTGAAATCGCCCCCGTGAGTGAGAACTACCGGCTGCTTCCTTGGAAATAAATAAGGGGGGGAAAATAAATAAAATTACCACGAAATACCTGAATTTTAGCAAAATTTGGGCGGCTCTTTCACCTTCTGGAATAAATATTGGGAGGTCAGTTTGGAGCTTCCAAACGGAACTGGGAGGAGGGGACTGGATGGGAAATGGCTTGGGGGTGATTTTAGGGGTTCCCCTTCTTTTAGGGCCGATGTTGAGGTGTGGGCCCTTGTTTTAGGGCAGATATTGGGGGGCTCCCCTTCTTTTAGGGCAGATTTTAGGGGTTACCCTTCTCTTAGGGCAGATTTAGGGTGGGTTCTCCTTTTAAGCCAGATTTTGGGGGCTCCCCCTTCTTTCAGGGCAGATTTTGGGGCATGGGCCATTGTTTTAGGGCAGATTTCGGGGCTTCCCCTTCTTCTAGCACAGATTTTGGGATGGGTCCCCTTCCTTTGGGCCAGATTTTGGGGGATTCCCCTTCTTCTAGGGCACATTTGAGGTTTTCCTCTTCTTTTAGGCCAGTCTGGGGGGATTCTCCATATTTTAGGTCAGATTTGGGGTTTCCCCCTTATTTTAAGCCAGATTTTAGGCTTTCTCCTTCTTTTAGGCCAGATCTTGAGGGTTCCCCTTTTCTCAGGCCAGATTTTGAGGGTTCAGTTTCTCTTAGGGCAGATTTTGAGGGTTTCCCTTTTCTCAGGCCAAATTTTGGGGGTTCAGCTTCTCTCAAGCCAGATCTTGAGGGTTCCCCTTCTCTCGGGGCAGATTTTTGGGGTTTCCCTTCTCTCAGGGCAGATTTCGGGGGTTCCCCTTCTCTCGGGGCAGATTTCGGGGGTTCCCCTTCTCTCGGGGCAGATTTTTGGGGTTCCCCTTCTCTCAGGGCAGATTTCGGGGGTTCCCCTTCTCTCGGGGCAGATTTTTGGGGTTCCCCTTCTCTCAGGGCAGATTTCGGGGGTTCCCCTTCTCTCAGGGCAGATTTTTTGGGTTCCCCTTCTCTCGGGGCAGATTTCGGGGGTTCCCCTTCTCTCAGGGCAGATTTCGGGGGTTCCCCTTCTCTCGGGGCAGATTTTTGGGGTTCCCCTTCTCTCGGGGCAGGTTTCGGGGTGCTGGCAGTGCCCGCTCCCAGGCTGCCCTCCCCAAACCCTCCGGCAGGGCAGGGCAGGAGCACCCCCCGCTAGGGAAAATCCAGATCCTGCAGGTCCATGGTGCAGAGCGCGCTGCTGAAGAGCTCCAGCTCCTCCTCGGAGAAGCGCAGGGGGCTCTCCAGGGACCCCAGCCCACCCGGAGAAAGCCCCTGGCCGAGCTCCAGGCACGGCTCCAGCGAGAACACGCCGAGCTCCGGCGGCGGCGGCCGCTCCGCGCTCCCCGCGCGCTCCTCGATGGCGCCCAACGCGGGGCAGGTCTCGGCCTCGCCGCCTGCATCCGGCCCGGCCCAAACGGCTTCTTCCTTGTGCTGCGTCTGCCTCTTGTGCTTCATGCGGCGGTTCTGGAACCACACCTTGACCTGGCGCTCGGTGAGCTGCAGCAGCGCCGCGATCTCCACGCGCCGCGGCCGGCACAGGTACTTGTTGAAGTGGAATTCCTTCTCCAGCTCCAGCAGCTGCGTGTTGGTGTAGGCGGTGCGGAGGCGCCTGGAGCCGCCGCTGTCCGACAGCCCCGGAGCCTCTGCAGAGGGAAAAACACAGGAATTGTCACCAAAGCCAGGAGTTCTGCACCGCCCCGCCGGGGGGAAATGGGTTAATCCAACTTTGCCCACTCCGGAGGAGTTCCGTGCCTCGAGGGGAAAAGGGATTTTGCTCCTGGTCTCTCCCTTTAGAGCCCTTCCCTCTCTGGAGGAAAAAAGAATTTCTAACTTCCTTCTAAACCTCTAAAATGTAGGACATTTCTCCATTTCTCCATTTCTTCTACATTTCTTCTACATTTCTTCTCCATTTCTTCTACATTTCTTCTACATTTCTTCTACATTTCTCCTAAATTCCTAAATCCCCTCTTTCCTGTTGGTTTGGTTTCTCTCTTTTTATTTTTTTTCTTTTTTTTTTTTTTTTTTTTTTTTTTTTTTTTACCTTTCCCCGGTACTTTGGCTTGATTATCCCAATTTTCCCCAGTACTTTGGTTTGATTACCCCGATTTTCCCCGGCCAATGAGCTCCGGCGTCCGCCCTTGTCCTGCCTGATTTCACCCGAACCTGGAAACCCCGGAATTGTTCCTCCAGCACTTTATCCCGGGGGAGAGAAAGAGGCCGAGCAGCGAGAGGCTGCTCCTTTTTCTGGGGGTGTTTTGGGGTGCAATAATTCCATTTTGTAGGATCAGCCCCCGCTCTTCCACCTCCCCATTTTTTTTTTTTTTTTTTTTTTTTTTTTTTTTTTTTTTTTTTTTTTTTTTTTTTACCTTTCCCCTGTACTTTGGCTTGATTATCCCAATTTTCCCCAGTACTTTGTTTTGATTACCCCGATTTTCCCCGGCCAATGAGCTCCAGTGTCCTCCCTTGTCCTGCCTGATTTCACCCGAGCCGTGGAAACCCCGGAATTGTTCCTCCAGCACTTTATCCCGGGGGAGAGAAAGAGGCCGAGCAGCGAGAGGCTGCTCCTTTTTCTGGGGGTGTTTTGGGGTGCAATAATTCCATTTTGTAGGATCAGCCCCCGCTCTTCCACCTCCCCACCCTTCTGGCACCTTCCTATTTTCCTTTCCTATTTTCACCCATTTTCCTTCCCCTCCCTCGGAGCTTCTTGGTGGTTTTGTTGTCTTTGCTTTTCCCTTTTTTTATTTTTTATTTTTATTTTTTCCCCTGTTGGGCACTGAAAGCCGAACAAACGCAGTTGCAAACCCCCCCCAGGCCCCCCCGGGCCCTCCTTGCTCGGGGCTCCACCAGAACTTGCAGAAATTTGTAATTTTTATTCGCGGGGGGGGGAGGAGGCGGCCGAACCCCCCGACCCCGGGCTGGGGGCATCGCTCCGTGAATCCCCAGTCCCGGGGGAGCCCCCCGGGCAGGGGGATGGGCTGGGGCCGTTTTGGGGCCAGACGAGCAGAATTGGCCATTTCCCGCCGCCCCCCCCATACGAACCTGCGGGGGATCCCGCGGCGGGCATCGGCAGCGAGGAGGAGGAGGAGGAGGAGGAGGAGGATGGCGGGGACGAAGCGGCCGGAGCCTGGCTGCCTCTCCTGGACGATTTCTTCTCCCTCATCCAGGGGAAGGGCGCTGCCCGGGGGCCGGGCGGGGCCGCGGGCCGGGCCGGGCCGTGCCGAGCTGGGCTCGGGCTCGCCCGGCTGCCGCAACAAGGGCTCAGGCTCTGGAGGAGGCTCGGCTCGAAAGGAGGAGGAATTAACGTCGAGTCCTTGATTGATGAAGTTTGAAATGTCTCCAGGACAGCGGGGAGAGACGTCAGGCACTCCGCGAGCGAAGGCTGGCTATTTATAAACCCGATCTCCCTCTCAAATTCAAAATTCATGGCTTTTCCAGGGCCCGGGCTTTAAAAAGCGGGAGGGAGGCGGGGGAGAGGGAGGAGGAGGAGGAGGAGGAGGGGGAGAGGGAGAGAAATCGGAGGGCTTGGGTTTTTGATGGCGGGGATGATGACGGTCCTCGGGCTTTTTATAATTGTTATATTGCTGATAATACAGGCGGAGGGGGACCCTGCTCTGCTAAACTCCAGGCTGGGGCGAAATTGCAGCCAATTCCTCGTCACGTGGGAGGCCCTGGCCAATGGCAGCAGGGGCCTGGTGGCAAACAGAAAGCATTATTTTCTTTAATTGATCAAAAAATAGGGGGAGAGAAAGCGAGAGAGACAGGAACCCCCAAAAAGCCAACACCACCCAGCAGCACCCCAGAATCAACATCACACCCTGGCTGTGGGCAGGGAGAGCCCAGCCCCGTCCCAGTCCCGTCCCAGTCCCGTTCCAGTCCCGTTCCATCCTCATTCCTGTTCCAGTCCCGTCCCAGCCCCGTCCCAGTCCCGTCCCAGTCCCGTTCCAGTCCCGTTCCATCCTCATTCCTGTTCCAGTCCCGTCCCAGCCCCGTCCCAGTCCCGTCCCAGTCCCGTTCCAGTCCCGTTCCATCCTCATTCCTGTTCCAGTCCCGTCCCAGCCCCGTCCCAGTCCCGTCCCAGTCCCGTTCCAGTCCCGTTCCATCCTCATTCCTGTTCCAGTCCCGTCCCAGCCCCGTCCCAGTCCCGTCCCAGTCCCGTTCCAGTCCCGTTCCATCCTCATTCCCGTTCCAGTCCCGTTCCATCCTCATTCCCGTTCCATCCTCAGTCCCGTCCCAGCCCCGTCCCAGTCCCGTCCCAGTCCCGTTCCATCCTCATTCCCGTTCCATCCCCGTTCCCTCCCCGCCGCTCCGGTGTCCCCAGCCGGGCCCATCCTGGGATGGGAATCGGGGTTTTCTGCCCTCCCCGTTCCCTGCTCTCCGCTCCCGCAGCCCCGGGGCTGTCCCTGGGCTGGTGCTCGAGCCTGGCTCTGAGCGCTCAGGAAATCAAAGGAGCTTTTAAGCCGAGTTTAGTTAAACCGGCGCGGTTTCAATGACTCTTGAAGAGCAGCCTAATCCTTCTCCTTGCCGAGCCGGGCTTAATGGGCGCTCGGCGCTTCGCTTGGAGGCCAGACACGTTTTAGGGTCACGGCTATCTCTGAAATCGCATCTCTGCCTTCCCATCCCTTTTTTTTCCCACCCCATCTCCAATAAAGCAGCGCCACTTCCAGAGTTTACAAAATAAATAAATAAAATGAAAAAGTCATTTCCCAAGGTTTTTCCCCCCTTTCTTTCCCCTCTCCAAGGCGCGCCGGGTCCGCAGGGCCCGAGCAGAAGAGAGCAACCATCAATCTTCTCCTCCAAGGACTTGTGACAGCTCGCCCCGGCTCACTCAGCACAGAAATTCCGCTTTTGCCTCGCAGGTTTTTAACCCAGGGCAGGTTTACAAACGTTAATCCGCCGGTTTTAACGGTAAAAACTTTAAAAAAAGGAGAGATAAATCAAAAAGAATCTGCCTGGAGGGGATGGAGAGGGAGTCGGGGTTTGCGGGAGCTCCAGTGGTCCCAGTTTGCAGCCGGCAGGGACGGGGAGGCTCCGCTCCCGCAGGGAGCAGCCTGGAAACTTTTGTCACTCCAGGCATCCGCGTGGGTGGGAGCGCTTGGGAATAAATCTAAAGCTCCTTCAGCGAGCGGGGGAACGAAAATAATTACAATCGTTGCAATAATGAAAAAAATACCCAGCGCCAACCCGAATTTCCCTGAGCGTTTTGTGGATTCGCGTGTCAAAACCACCCAAAAATCTGTTTAATCTCGTCAGATCAATGGTTAAAAAGAAAATAATCTTTTTTTTTAAAAGCCAAACAAGCGTTTGTGCTCCTTGCTGGCCGGTTTGAAGTGGAAATTTGGGGTTTGCCTGCGGTTGGCAATTCCTCGGGTTTGGGATGGGATGAAGAGGAGGAATTGGGGATGGAAAATTCTTCCCAGCCGCTGCCAAAAGTTGTCTCTGCTTTTCGGAGCTGCAAGGGGAAAAGAAAAATGGAAATGGGGGGAATGAAAAGAAGGAAAAATGAGAAATGGGGAATGAAAAGAAGGAAAAATGAGAAATGGGGAATGAAAAGAAGGAAAAATGAGAAATGGGGAATGAAAAGGGGGGAAAATTATAGAGGGGGAATGAAAATAGGGAGGAATGAAAATAGGGAAAAATGGAAAGGGGGGAAAAGAAAAATGGGGGGATGAAAAGAGGGGGAGAAAATGAAAATGGGGAGAAAATGAAAAGGGGGGAAAAGTGGGGGGGATGAAAAGGGGAGGGGAGAAATGAAAATGGGAGAGAGAATGAAAAGATGGAAAAATTAAAAGAGGGGGAATGAAAAGAGGAGAAAATTAAAAGAGGGGGAATGAAAAGAGAGAAAAAATGAGAAGAGAGGGGGAATAAAGAAAGGAAAAAAAGGAAAAAAAACCTCTTGGGAAATTGGGATTTTTAAATTTTTTTTTTTCCCACGCATCTCACGGAGCAAAGGGGGTAAAACATCCCCCGAGTGCAGGGAAGGCGTCGCGTCCTGGGAGGGATCCCCGAGTTCCAGGGACCAACCCGAGGCAGCCCCGCCGGGGAGGGAGCGCAGCCCGCCCGGGGCGCGCCCCGGAATTGGTTTTTTTTCCCTTTTTGCCTGATTTTAACCATTTCCTGGGAATCCCTGGCACAACATGGCGCCGGAAAAATCCGGGAATTGAGCTGGGGAATCAGAAATGGTCTGAGAGATGATCCCAACCCAGCCCGCCATCACCGAATCATTTTATTATTGAAAAGAAATTTTAAAATTTGCTTTTGAATTAAAAATATTTCACAGGCCGGGATGGGAAATTGTTCCTTGCGGCCTCGCTGCTCCTGATCCCGTTATTATTTATAATTATTTATAATTATATTTTTAATTCTTAAGCTGGAACTCCTGATCCCGTTATTATTTATAATTATTTATAATTATTTATAATTATTTATAATTCTATTTTTAATTCTTAAGCTGGAACTTGGTTGATGAGGAGGGATCGGAGCTCGGCGCTGTTTCTCGTGAGAGGTTTTCTCCAGCAGAGCTTTTTTTTTCATCGCTCGGGGATTTGTCCTGTGCACACAGGTGGATGAAATGAGTAAAATGGGAAATATCTGAAATGCGGAAATGTGATGTAGAAAATGCGGTGTAGGAAATGCAGGGTATGGGGTGGGAAATATAAAATGTAAAAAATAAAAGATATAAAAAACACAAAGCTGTGCTATGTAACATACAGGATATGGGCTATAAAATGTGTCGTGTATCATGTATATAACATACGATACGTGCCTGCTGCTCTCTGTGGAGACAGCTGCTGCCACTACGTATTATATAAAAAATATTATATATATAAAATGTAAACTGCATAAAAATACAAAAATATAAAATATACTAAAAGATATTAAAATATATAAAGTACAAAACACAAAACCCACGCGCTGCCTCTGCACCCCAACACCCTTTTATCTTTCTTTTAATTTTTTTTTCCTTTTTTTGGGTACCTTTTCCAGCTTTTCCACCTTTTCTCAATGAAAATCCCAAATCCTGCTTTCCTTCCCCCTTCCTCCTCCTCCTCCTCCTCACCCCCAGCCTTCCCAGCGCCATAAAACTTTTATTGCCCCTCGCTGCTTTAATGGGAGTTTTCTTAGGGCTTTAGAGCATAAAAAGCGAATTATTCACGGCGTTCTCCGCCTGCTTTCGCTGCCGGCCCAGGTTTGTTCTCCCCTTTCGCTCTCGCCTTTTCTGGGGGGATTTTTGCCTCTTTTACCCCAAATCCGGGCTGCCCGGGGAGGTGCGGCTGGGCGCACGCTCCTGTTTCAGAAATAATTCCGTTGTTTTAGCCAGAACTCAATTGTTTTCGCCAGAATTCAGTTATTTAATATTCAATTAAATGACAGAAATTATGGATTTCATCGCTCGTCACTTCCCAAGGCCCCGCATGGAAACTCTGGGCCGTTTTTCCATTTCCCCCTCTCTTTCACTTTTCCCTCTCCTGGTTTTTATTTATTATTTCCCGTGATTAATCCTTTTCCTTTGTTTTCATTCCCTCTCCAATGGCAGCCCGGCCCCGGCTGCACGTGATCCCTCTTTGTGGGCCCGAATTCGCAGGATTTCAGCCCAAAGCGGGCTCCGCTCTCCATCCCTCTCCTTCCTCCCCACCTCACCGATTCCATTTCCCCCTGAAATCCTTTTCTCTCCCCTCCGAGCCCGAGGGAGAGCACGCGGTGAAACGGAGACCAGCACGTTTATTCAGGAGTTGTGGAGCAGACAGCCCTCGAAGGAGGGAAGAAAAGAACTACTGTAAGAACAAAGAGAGGAGAGGAGGGGCGCGGGAGGCAGGGAGGGAGGGAGCCGCGAGGAAATTCTTCTAATTCAGGACGGAACAATCACAGGCTGCTTCTGCTCTCATGCCTCCGGTAGAACTAATTACATTATTCATAAGTACCAAGGTAACAGAAAACTACTGCTTCTCCCTAAATTACAATAACTAAAAGGAGCTCGTGGTACAATGACAAGGGGAGCACAATGTCCTTCTTTTTTTAATTTTTTTTTTTACTTTTTTTCTGCCTTTTTTTTTTTTTTTTGAAGGAAATATTAAAAAAGTACCGTTTGATTCTTATTTTTGTCGTTTTCTTTTTTTTCGTTGCTTTTCCCTCATATAAATACATGGTCTGGGGAGGATAAATAATACAAAAAAAGAAAAAAAAAGGAAAATATTTTCAACTGGCTATAACCAATAAATATATATGAATGTTCACCAGAACACACACCTAACTGAAGGGCGCCTCGACGGAGCTGAGAGCCCTTCAAAGTTGCTTTTATTTATTATTATTAATTTTTAATACCCATTATATGTAAACTCTAAGTGCAACAAAGATGTCCAGGCAGGAAAGCGCCAGCAGATCCCAGGATCCCTCGGCTTCTGCTTCCGTGGGAGGACATTCCCTCTGCTCAAATATACCCTGTTTTCACGTCAGCTCAAAGGAGAGGAGGAAAGAAGCTCAGGATTTCCCCAACTGCTTTTTCTGCTGCTCGTCAGCCCTAAAAAACGCCCCCCCAAAAAAGAGAAACCCTCCCCACATGGAGAAATTGAGATTTCACCTCAGCAGAGGCGAAGGAAGGGAAATATTCAGAACCTGGCAACTCTTTCTTCCTCTCTTTGGAATTTGGGGTGGGGGGAGAAAAGGGGGGTTTAGGCGTTCCCAACAATTTCCTCAACCCTTCGCGGGGTTCGACCTCTCTTATCCCGAATTTTTTAAATTTTTTTTTTTGTGGTGTTGTTTTGGAGAGGGGGAGCGGGGCCTGGAGGGACGAGCGGGGCTCCCGGGCGTTGGCCGCTGTGGGGATTGGCAGGTTTGGGCTTTGGTGGGAAGGTGCGCCGTGGGAAAGGGGATTTCTCCTTTTTCCAGCGGGAAATTGGGGTTTTCCTTTTTCCAGCGGGAAATTGGGTTTTTCCGTTTTCCAGTGGGAAATTGGGGTTTTCCCTTTTTCCAGTGGGAAATTGGGTTTTTCCCTTTTCCGGCGGGAAATTGGGATTTTCCTTTTTCCAGCGGGAAATTGGGTTTTTCCTTTTTCCAGCGGGAAATTGGGTTTTCCTTTTTCCAGCGGGAAATTGGGTTTTTCCTTTTTCCAGCGGGAAATTGGGTTTTTCCTTTTTCCAGTAGGAAATTGGGTTTTTCTTTTTTCCAGTGGGAAATTGGGTTTTTCCCTTTTCCGGCGGGAAATTGGGATTTTCCTTTTTCCAGTGGGAAATTGGGTTTTTCCTTTTTCCAGGGGAAATTGGGTTTTTCCTTTTTCCAGCCGGAAATTGGGTTTTTCCCTTTTCCCCTGGAAAGGGACAACCCTTCCTCCGAGGGCTGGGAAGGAACGCACAGAGGATCTGGAGAAGGACCCAAAGTGGGGGGAAGTTCCTGGTGGATCTCTTTGGGGTTTCTTGGATGCAGATACCCCAAAACTTGGCTGGAGGACTCTTCTCCTTCCCGGCATCTGGGAATTGTTGGTGAAGATGCAGACGTGGCTTGGAAACGATGGACTTGGCCACCCAAACCCTGCAGAATTCCCATGAAACCACCCCGAGCCCTTTTCAGAAGAATTTGTGCCAAACCCCAGGAGGTTCCTCCCTCCCAAAGCCACCAAAACCGCTTGGATTTTGTGCTCACAACAAACCCCAAAACCCCGAGCGCGATAACCCCGCCAAAACCAACGAGGCCGGGAAAAAACCCAACGCAAACATCCCTGAAACCCAAAGCGCCCGTTTTCTCCCCAAAACAGCTCCGCCTCTCACAGGTGGGTGAGCTTGGGCGCCTCTTGGATTCTGCCCTGAGAAGTCGCGTGGTGCGACGAGAGCTCCGTGTAGGTGGCGTGGCTCTCGCACGGTCCGTGGGGCTGCCCCGCGGCCGCCCCGCCGTAGTCCATGCCGGCGGCCTGGTGGTGGGCCAGGTGGTTGAGGCCGTAAAGGGCCGGGCCCGAGGCGGGCAGAGAATCCACAAAGTTCCCTCCGACGTACGCGGGGCTGCCCTGCACGCCGGCCGTGCCGTAGGCCGCGCCGTTGGCCTGCAGCACGTGCGGCTCGTACTCGGCCGCCGCCGCGGGCCCGCCGTATTTCTGCTGGCTCGGGCAACCCTTCAGGGCCGCTTGGTAGCCGGGGGCGGCCACGGCGTAGGCGTTTTGGTGGGGTTTGCTGAAGGCAGGCGGCGACGGCGCCTCGTAGGCGCCGCTCATGGGGTGCAAGGCGTTGAGGAACCCCGCCGAGGCCTGCATGGGCTGCGGGGGGCTGCCCGCCGGGGAGGGCCCGCCGGAGGAAGAGCCGCCCACGCCTTTGGATTTCTGATCCTTTTTGTACTTCATCCTCCTGTTCTGGAACCAGATCTTGATCTGGCGCTCGCTGAGGTTCAGCAGGTTGGCCATCTCCACGCGCCGCGGCCGGCACAGGTAGCGGTTGAAGTGGAATTCCTTCTCCAGCTCCACCAGCTGGGCGCTGGTGTAGGCCGTGCGCGCCCTCTTGGAGGCCGACGAGCCCGGGGGGCTTTTCTCGCCGCCGCCGCCGCCGCCGCAGGTCTCTGTCAGGCCCCCGGAATGAAATAAAAGAGAATTACTTAGGTGCAGAAATTGAATGCGTCGTTTGTTAATAAATCCTCCCCTCGCCCCTCCGCGTGGGCCTGCACTCCATAATCGTGTCAGTTATTAAGAGTCCTGTTCTCCAAAGCTGCCCCTGCTTTATGAAAATTTGATCATGTCATGTAGGAGAGGATTCCAGGGCCCGTTATTGAGCAAGGGATTATTTCCAGCCGATCATTTTCTGGAAAATGACGTTTGGCAGGGCGGCCGCGGGGCCAATTAATGCGGGCTCGGGAGGGGTTGGTTTGCACACAGGTAAACTCCAGAAATTACATTAATGGGGGATGAAGTGCGCACCACGAGGGTTGTGTGAAAGAATTTGTCAAAATTGTGGTGAATCTGAACTGAATTTTTGGGTTTTATCTGAATTAGTCTGAATTGTGGCAAATCCGAGCCAAAATTCTGGTTTTTATCTGAATTTATCCGTGAATTTTTGGTTTTTATCTGAATTTATCTGTGAATTTTTGGTTTTTATATGAATTTATATGGGTTGTGACAAATCCAAACTGAATTCTTGGTTTTTATCTGAATTGATCTGAAATTTTGGTGGGACACATGGAGAAGTTGGACGTGGCACCACATCTGCTCTCTCCGAGCGCTGGGAAGGCACCAAACAGAATTTTAGCTGCGAGTTGAGCAGGTGGGAGAAATTTCCCCCAAATTTGTGTCCACCTGGGCTGGGTCCAGCACCCGTGGTTGTGTTTGAAATAAAGCCATAAATAAATCAGCCAGGGGTGGGTGAGCAGCGCCTGGGGCCAGGACCCTCCGGGGGTCCTGCGGGGTCCTCTCCTCATCCCTGCAGAGGAGAAGGGGAATGTTCAGCTCTTCCTTCCTCCCTCGGGGATTCTGGGCAGGAAATTTGGAATTTGGGCCTTCCCCAGACTGATTCCTCCAACCTTTGTCATTCTTAGACCCCTTTTGGAATTCTGGGCAGGAAAAGTGGAATTTGGGCCTTCCCCAAACCAATTCCTCCAACCCTTTGTGATTCTTAGACCTTTTTTGGGAATTCTGGGCAGGAAAAGGGGAATTTGGGCCTTCCCTAAACTGATTCCTCCAACCTTTGTCATTCTTAGACCTCTTTTGGGAATTCTGGGCAGGAAAAGGGGAATTTGGGCCTTCCCTGAACCGATTCCTCCAACCCTTCCCCATTCTTACACCTCTGGCACCAATTTTTTTGCTAATTTGGGCCTTCCCCAAACTGATTCTTCCAACCTTTGTCATTCTTAGACCTCTTTTGGGAATTCTGGGCAGGAAAAGGAGAATTTGGGCCTTCCCCAAACCAATTCCTCCAACCCTTTGTGATTCTTAGACCTTTTTTGGGAATTCTGGGCAGGAAATTTGGAATTTGGCTCTTCCCTAAACTGATTCCTCCAACCTTTGTGATTCTTAGACCTCTTTTGGGAATTCTGGGCAGGAAAAGGGGAATTTGGGCCTTCCCTGAACCGATTCCTCCAACCCTTCCCCATTCTTACACCTCTGGCACCAATTTTTTTTGCTTTTGAACCTTGTTATTTCCTAGCGGGCGAGGCCGGGGCGCGTCACCGCGGCCTGCCCCTCTACCTGCGCTGGGCGAGCCGTTCTTCTGCTTGGAGTTCTGCCTCGACTCCTTCATCCAGGGGAAGATCTGCTTGGAGATGCCGGCGCTGGCGCCCAGGCCGCCTTTGCCGGGGGTGCTTTTCCCCGCTGGGGCCTGGCCCGCGGCGCCGTCGGCGTTGGCGGCGTTGGGCGACGCCGGCGGCTCCGCGGGCCGCATGCAGCTCCCGTTGAGCTCCTTATTTTTGCCGTGGGACTGCAGGGAGCAGGAGGACCTCTGGAAGTCGCTCTCCACGTGGGAAGAGGCCTGGAACGGCGGCTGGGCGCCCTCGTAGGCGAATCCATTGCCGTAGGAGTAACCCCCGAAGAGCGTGGAGCTGTCGTAGTACGAGGCCTTCTGCATCTTCCGCGAGCGTTTCTGTGCCTACCAGGGTCCTGACACCCCTAGGGCAGAACATTGGCACCCCGAGGCCACGTGACGGCCCCTCTCCAGCTGTCGGGTGGGAGCTGACCTGAAAGGTTAGCAGAAAAAACACAATAATAGTGCCAGGAATCCATCTTGGGGCCTGAAAGGCTCCTGACATGAATAGGGTCCCGCCGAACGGGGGGGAACAGATGCTGCCAGCAGATTTCACCCTGCCCAGCCTCGGCAGATTTTGATTTTTGAGGAGTTTTGGGGGTGGCAGGGCCTTTTTTTTTTTTCCCCCGTTGCTCGTTTCGCTCTGTGGCTTCGCACGGGATGGCCTCTGTACATTGATTTATTCTGGATTTATCCCCGCGCACAAATCCCCATGAAACACCCCGGGCTGTTTCACTCACACGTTTAAACACCCAGATAAAATAAACCCCAAATCAGCACAAATACGAGAGCACAGAACGGAGAATCGCCGGCCAAAAAACACAAAAAACAACCAAAGTCCTGCAATTTCCACTGAAATCACACACAGAGCAGCCCCAAAAACCTCCCACCAGCAGAAATTCAAAGTTTACCCCCAGGGCTTGTTTGCTTTCACGCTCAACCAGTGAAAATCCATGTTTCCCCCCAGGTAACAGGGAAAATCCGTGTTTTTCCCCAGGTAACAGCGAGAATCCGTGTTTTTTCCCCAGGTAACGCTGTCCTGGCACCCTTGGCTCCTTTTTTGTTTCCACAGGAACTCCCAGCGCCTCTGGAATTCAGGGCAGAGATTCCCAGCAGGTCGGAGCAGCGGCAGGAATTCAAAACGCGATTTCTCCCCCTGCCCTGCTCTGGGTCTCTCTGACAGGTTGAATTTACAAAATAAATCCTTTTTTTCCCCTTTTTTTTTCCCGGCACGGTTTTGTGTTTCTCATCCCGAGTGCGGAGCTGGGGAGGCGCTGGTCCCGAACGCGCCGGGGTTTAATCGCGGTTGTTATTTTATTTTTTTCTCTCTTTCTCGTGGAAAACAAACACTCCACGAGGCCATTTGCTCCTCACTTTGCACCCCTTGGATTTTCCAGCCTTCCTCCCTCCCTCAAGCCAAGCTCAAAAAGTCTAAAAAAAACCCCAGTCCAAAGCTTAAAATCACAAATTTGAACCTTTTTTCCCTCCCCTGTCTCTATCTCTGCCATTTTTCTGATTTTTCTCCATCTCTTTCTTTTCTCTCTCGCTTTTCTCCCAGCAGAAACTTTCTCCTCCATTAAAACAGAGTGGGAATACCCCGAAAAAAAGGTGAAAAGGACTTTAAATGATCGGCAGAGGGATTTTTAGCAAGGCAGAGACTCCTCTCCGCAGCCCGAGGAGCCACCGAGCATTTGTTTGGGGATTGATATCCTTTGTATATTGAATTGTATCTCTTGTATATTCAATTTTATCTGGGCCTCTTTCATCCTGCAAAACAAAACAAAACAAACCCCGCCGAGATAAAGCCCAGCGCGATATTTTTAAGTGCCGGGGCTTTAACAGAAGCCCCGGCTCGACAATAAATAACATTTTTTTCTCCTTTTCCTGGCTGCTGTTTTTATGTCACGTCACACCAAAGCTCCGTTTGCTTCGCCCCATCCTCGCAGCGTCCACGGAGGGACCGCTCGGCTTTTGGAAATTTATTTATTTAATTTTTTACCCTGATTAAATCCTTCCCGCATTCCCAAATCCGCATCGGATCTTCCTCGGAGATGCGTTATTGTCTGCGCCGAGGGCAGATCCTCGCTGCGAGTTATTCTCCTCCTCCTCCTCCTCCTCCTCCTCCTCCCTGGCCATGATAAATTTGTCTTATTAAAAAGTAGCCTCCGCTCCCCGAGCCGTGAATTAATTAATTAACAAACAGCAGCGCTTTATTATGAATAGGTTTGCTGGGAATATCTGCGAGGGGCAGAGGTGGGAATTTCTCCAAGGCCTTTCAGGCTGCTAAAGGTTTATTTAAAAATAAAAAAACCAAACCCAAAAGCAGCGAGACAAACCCAAACCAGAACCTCGTGAGGCTCGGCGAAAGCAGCTAAAAATAACGGCGATTATTCTTTTTTTTTTTTTTTTCGGGTTCTTGTTGTTTTAAACGTCCATAAAATAAATTTACAACCCCCTCCGCCTCGCTCGTGGCTCCGCTTTGTACCTCATCTCTCAGCGCCTCACAAATGCCGCTCATTTATCTTCGCCCGGGACGGCCGCAATCCTAATTATTTACTCCAAGGAATTGCTTAGGAAAAGTGGGGGAAAAAAAAGAAAAAAAGAAAAAAAAAAAGGCCCTGGCAGAATAATAAATATTCGATGATCTCCTGCTCCAATTAAAGGCGGGCGGGAGCTGCTCCAGCCCGCTCCGAGTTTCACTTCGGCAGCGATTCCCCAAAAACTCTTGGCCTGCAACTTCGGAGGGCGAGGATTTGGGGCCATTTAAATTAAAAAAAAATTAAAAAAAATCAAAATAAATGAAGGGTGGGGAGGGGGAAAGGTGCGGCAGGGAAAGGGGTGTGGGGAGGATGAGGATGCTCGGGGAAATGGAAATGTGGAAATGCGGAAAGGCAGGAATCGGGCGGGGGAAGGGAGAGGAGGGAGCTGGGGCCGGGGGTCTGCGGGAGCAGCGGCCCCTCCATGTTGGAAAATCCGAATTTCCCGAGCCCGGAGCTCGCGGGGAGCGCGGCGCCGCTCCCCTCCCCCGCCGCGCGGCTCCATCGCCGCTAATTCCGCTCCTTCTAATCCCAAATATTCCAACCCTGCCCTGCAACAATAGCGGGGAGCAGCCCCGAGCCCCGCGGCCGCAAAAACAGCGGAGCTTTCCCCAAATTTCCCTTCCTTCCTCCCTCCCCCCACCCCAAAGCAACGACTCCCCCCGGCTGCAAAACCGCGGGGAGAGGAGGAAAAAAAAGAAATTAAAAAAAAAATTAAAATATTTAAAAACGCGGGGAGAGGCGGTAAAAAAATTAAAATAAAAATAAACAACGGCGGGGAGAGGCGGAAAACAATAATGTAAAGATTTTTTAAAAAAACGCGTGGAGAGGCGGAAAAAAATTAAATAATTTTTTTTAAAAAAAGAGCAAAAACAGCGGAGCTTTCCCCAAATTTCCCTTCCTTCCTCCCTCCCCCCACCCCAAAGCAACGACTCCCCCCGGCTGCAAAACCGCGGGGAGAGGAGGAAAAAAAAGAAATTAAAAAAAAAATTAAAATATTTAAAAAAGCGGGGAGAGGCGGAAAAAAAATTAAATAATTTTTTTTAAAAAAAGAGGGTGGGGGTGGCGGAATTAAAAAAAAAAACCCCACAACGCAGGCGGTGGGTGAGGGCTGCAAAAGAGGCTCTGCGTGGAAGGAAGCTTAAAGCTTGTGAACTCTTCTTGAACCGAGATTGGAGTCATATGGTCATAAATCATCGGGACATATACTCCGCCATTCACAAAGTGATCGCCTATTTGAGTCCGGCTTACCTTAGTCTCTGACGAGCCAAGCACAGGCAGACATAATATATTTTCACATCCAGCATCCACGCAATCAATAAGCGAGGAGTGACCCCCCCTCCCCTTCCCCTCCCGCTTCTCCCCGCTTTTTTTCACCTGCCTTTTTTTTTTTTTTTTTTTTTTTGGTCTCTCTTTCTCTCTCTGGCTCTCCTTTCAAAACGTTACGGGAATAAACGCGCGGGGGAAGCGTCAAAAGAAGCGAAAAAATCTAAAAAAAGAATTAAATCCGGCATTGTGGTGGGTGGGATGGGTTGGTAAAAATATTATTAATTTAAAAAAAAAAAAAAAAAAAAAAAAGAGGTGAAACAGAGGGGGAGGGGGCTCAGCCAGGCGCTTACGGCGGCTCAAATTGTCTCGCTCGCTCTCCCTTTGGGGGGGAAAAATGAAAAAAAATAATAATATTAATAATAAAAAAATCAGGACGCTTCCCAGCTTTGCCGAGGCGCGCGGGGGGAGGCTCGGGGGGCTCGGGGGTGGCCGAGGGCTGGAGGTTCCACTTGGCCTCCGGAACGCGCTGCTCACTGATAACAATGGCCTCTGCTCGAGCAAAGGGGAAGAAGGGAGACGAGAAGGGAGGGAAAAAAAAAAGGAGAAGGGAAAAAAAAAAATAAAAGAAAAAGCGACCAGAAATTCGGAAATAATCCAGAAATAATGGCTCAGAAATAAAATAATTCAGGAATAACGATTCCGAAATAATGATTCCGAAATAATAATTCAGAAATTATAATTCAGAAATAATGATTCAGAAATAATGATTGAGAAATCTCCCTCACCAGCAGCACCCGACCCCCCCCGAAGGGATTGAAATTAAAATTAAATTGAAATTGAAATTTAAGTGGTGGCGGGAGGGCCGCGAGGGGGCTCGGGGGTGATTGGGGGGGTGGGGAGCAGCGACCCCCCGAAATTGGGGTTTGCTTCGGGGTGGCCGGGCCGGGGCAGATCGTGGGGCCCGGCCTGGGCAGGAGCGGCAGCGGCGCCTTTGATCCGCGTGATGAGCAATTAGGCGTCAATTTATGCAAATGAGCCTGGCCGGCAGCTCCGCGCGCCCCTCTCCGCGGCGCGGGGCTCGGGGTGCGCCCCCAAAATTCCTCCTCGCAGCCACCCCGAAACCCAAACCCCAATTTTGGGGCTTTCTGAGTGCTCGGCCTTGCTACAACTCGGAGTAACCTCAGCGGAATTTTCACCACCCCGAGGGCGCCCCCAGAATTCCTTCTGGCGGCCACCCCAAAAACCAAACCCCAAAGTTTGGGGGGGTTTCTAGGGGGCGGGTTGGAGCAATTCTCGCTGTTGCTACAACTCGGAGTAACTTCGGCGGAACTTTCAGCACCCCGAGGATGCTCCCCCACCTCGCTGCTCCTCTCAGCCACCCCAAAAACCCCAAACCCCAATTTTGGGGGGTTCTGAGTGCTCGCTGTTGCTACAACTCGGAGTAACTCCATAATTTTCCCCATCGTTTTCCCACCCCCTCGAAGCCACCCCAAAAACCAAACACCAAAATTGTTTTGGGGTCTCTGGGGGGTGGTTTTGAGCAATTCTCACTTGCTACAACTCGGAGTAACCTCAGCGGAACCCTCACCACCCCGACGGTGCTCCCCCCAACTTCCCTTCTCCTCCGCCACCCCAAAACTCCGACCCCAAAATTGTTTTGGGGTTTCTGGGGGTGGGGGACGAGGGGGTTTCAGCGATTCCCGCTCTTCCTACTACTCGGAGTAACCTCAGAGCATCTTCGAGAGCCCCAGTTTCTGTTCTCTGCAGCCACCCCAAGAACCCAACCCCACTTTTGGGGCTCTCTGAACAACTCGGAGTAACCTCAGCGGAGCTCTGCACATCCCAGGGGGCGCTCCCGCAGTTTTGCTGCTCCTCGCAGCCGCCCCAAAACCCAAACCCCCAAAACCCCAATTTTTGGGGGGGTTTTGGGGCGATTTGAGCAATTCTTGCTGTTGCTACTACTGGGAGTAACCTCGGAGGAGCTCTCACCACCCCGAGGATGCTCCCCCAATTTCCCTTCTCCTCAGCCACCCCAAACCCCAAACCCCAACATTTCGGGGGGGTTTTGGGGTTGTTTTTTGAGCCGTGCTCAGCGTGGCTACAACTCGGAGTAACTGCAGCGGAACTCGGAGCACCCCGGAGCCGAGCTCCCCTCTCCTCAGCCACCCCCCAAACCCCAAACCTCAAACCTTTGGGGGAGTCTTTGGAGCAATTCGGGGTTCTGGGGGGGCCCAAAGGCTCTCGGGGGAGCGGGGGACCATAGAGATAATTATTACTGCTGTTAATAAAGCTAATTACCCTTGGTAATTGCTAACTGGCATTGATAACCCGGCGCGGCCGGGCCGCTGTCGCCGCGGGGAATTTACGATTTTCGCCTCTCCCGGCAGCAGAACTCGGCCAAAAAGCGATTTTAGGGTTTTTTTAGGGATTTTAGGGTTTTTTTAGGGATTTTAGGGGGTTTTTTAGGGATTTTAGGGAGTTTTTTAGGGATTTCAGGGTGGAATTTAAAAAACCCCTGACCAGGAGGGGCTGGCGAGTGGGAGGAAGGCAGGGCTGAGGAATTTAGGTGTCTGCACTTTTTTTTGGCTTTTTTTTCCCTTTTTTTCCATTTTTTTCTTTGCAAGCGCTACTTTTGTTCCCCATCCCAATTATCTCCTTTAATTGTGGGCGCGCCCTCCTCGGCCCGAAGTGCTGACGAGGGGGAATTTGGTGGAGAAAAAGGGAAAGAGGAGCCACAAAAAACTCTTTGGAGCTGCCTGGGACGGCGAGACCATCGAGGGCTCCCATCGCCTTTTCCTGGTTTTATTCTTTTAAATTATTATTATTATTATTTAATTTTTGTGTGCTGCACCTTCAGGCTGAGAACTCTGGAAAGGAAAAAAAAAAAAAAAGAAGAAAAAAAGAAAAAAAAAAGAAGAAGGGAAAAAAAAGAAAAAAAGGAAAAATAATTTTAAAAAGAAGGATGCCCGAGGGAAGATTTGGACTTTTGGGGACTCTCGCAGCTGAAATTTTCCAGGTGGTTTTTCAAGTTTTATCCCAAGAATTGCGGGGTTTGCGGCTTTTGTTCTGCCCGCAGCCTCCCGCCCGCAGATGGGAGCGGGGACGCCGTAATTGCCATTTTATGAGGGTTTTTCCTCACCTCCCCACCCCTCTCATCTGACTTTTTATGAGCTGCTCCCACATAAATCTCCTGCTACGAGACACGTCCCGCCTGGGAACGCCGGCGTTGGATTCCCGGGGAAAAAAGGGGGAAAAGAGGAAAAAAAGAGGGGAAAAAGAGGAAAAAAGAGAGAAAAAAGAGGAAAAAAAGAGGAAGAAAAGAGGAAAAAAGAGAGAAAAAAGAGGAAAAAAAGAGGGGAAAAAGAGGAAAAAAGGGGGAAAAGGAGGAAAAAAAGAGGAAGAAAAGAGGAAAAAAGAGGAAAAAGAGGAAGAACAACCGCGGGCTGTTTAAAAACTTCTCCGGAGCTGAACCCGCCCCGGATTTCTGCATTTCTGGTTTTTTGGAGCTCAGGGAGAGCCAGAAGTGCCCGGGATGCTGCGAGCGGCTGCTCTGAACGGGAAAAATTGGGATTTCAGCCCCGACAGCCGGGGGGCCCCGCGGGCCGGGGGCGGCTCCGGGATCGGCTCCGCGGCTCCTGCGGCTCCGCCAGGTCGGGTTTGGGGTCCCTCAAAGGCCAGGTCGGGTTTGGGGATTTGGGGTCCCTCAAGGGCCAGGTCGGATTTGGGGATTTGGGGTTCCCTCAAAGGCCAGGTCGGGTTTGGGGTTTCCTCAAGGGCCAGGTCGGATTTGGGGATTTGGGGTTCCCTCAAAGGCCAGGTCGGGTTTGGGGTCCCTCAAAGGCCAGGTCGGATTTGGGGTTCCCTCAAAGGCCAGTGTCGGATTTGGGGTCCCTCAAAGGCCAGGTCGGATTTGGGGTTTCTGTCAAAGGCCATGTCGGATTGGGGGTTTCTGTCAAAGGCCATGTTGGATTTGGGGTTTCCCTCAAAGGCCAATGTCACAATTTGGGGTTCCCCTCAAAGGTCAATGTTGCGAGTTGGGATTTCCCTTCAAGAAAAACGTTGCGATTTGGGGTTTTCCCCTCAAGGCCAATGTCGGATTTGGGTTTCCCTTCAAAGGCCCAGGTCGGGTTTGGGGATTTGGGGTTCCCTCAAAGGCCAATGTCGGATTTGGGGTTCCCTTCAAAGGCCAATTCACAATTTGGGGTTTCCCTTCAAGGCCAGTGTTATGATTTGGGTTTCCCCTCAAGGCCAATGTTGTGATTTGGGGTTTCCCTCCAAGGCCAATGTCACGATTTGGGGTTCCCCTTCAAAGGCCAATGCCATGAGTTGGAACTTCCCTCCAAAGGCCAGTGTTGTGGTTTGGGTTTCCTCTCAAACACCAGAGTCGGATTTGGGGTTTCCGCTCAAGGCCAATGTTGCGATTTGGGATTTCCCTTCCAGGCCAATGTCACAATTTGGCATTTCCTTCAAGGCCAATGTCACAATCTGGCATTTCCTTCCAGGCCAATGTTGCAATTTGGGGTTTCCCTCCAAAGGCAAATGTCGCAATTTGGGATTTCCCCTCAAGGCTAACGTCTTGATTTGGGGTTTCCCCTCAAAGGCCAATGTCACAATTTGGGGTTTCCCTTCAAGGCCAATGTCGGATTTGGGGTTTCCCTCAAAGGCCCATGTGGGATTTGGGGTTTCCCTCAAGGCCAATGTCGGATTTGGGGTTTCCCTCCAAGGCCAATGTCGGATTTGGGGTTTCCCTCAAAGGCCAATGTCGGATTTGGGGTTTCCCTCAAAGGCCAATGTCGGATTTGGGGTTTCCCTCAAAGGCCAATGTCACAATTTGGGGTTTCCCTCAAAGGTCAATGTTGCGAGTTGGGATTTCCCTTCAAGAAAAACGTTGCGATTTGGGGTTTTCCCCTCAAGGCCAATGTCGGATTTGGGTTTCCCTTCAAAGGCCAATGTCGGATTTGGGGTTTCCCTCCAAGGCCAATGTCACGATTTGGGGTTCCCCTTCAAAGGCCAATGCCATGAGTTGGAACTTCCCTCCAAAGGCCAGTGTTGTGGTTTGGGTTTCCTCTCAAACACCAGAGTCAAAGGAAAAGGAAAAGGAAAAGGAAAAGGAAAAGGAAAAGGAAAAGGAAAAGGAAAAGATGGCGGCTGGAACCCAGGGAGGGCTTGGACTGGGGAGGTGGAGGGGAGGGGATTCCAATAGAAATAATAATTATGCTAATGATAATCATAATGATAATGCTAATAATAATAATAATAGTAGTAGTAGTAGTAGTAGTAACAGTAGTAGTAACAGTAGTAGTGGTAATAGTAATATAATAGTAGTAGTAGTAGTAATAGTAGTAGTAACAGTAGTAGTAATAGTAACAGTAGTACTAGTACTAGTAATAATAATAGTAATAATAATAGTAATAATAATAGTAATAAAAGAAATCGTAGTAACAGTAGTAGTAATAGTAACAGTAGTACTAGTACTAGTAATAATAATAGTAATAATAGTAATAAATTAAATAAAATGAAATAAAACAAAGTAATACAGTAACAGCAGAGGTCAGGCCGTGGGAGCGCGGAGGCGCTGCTGAGGACGGACAGACGGACGCGAGCGGAATGAAAACTCACCGCGTGCTCGGGCGCTGCTCCGGCGGGTCCGGGGCCGCTCGGGGGAGAGCAGCGGGGCTGAGGAGGGAAATAAAACCAAAAGCGCTGAAAGCTGGGCCAGAAATGGGGACAGGGACCCAGCACCGGGGTGGCAGTGGGGACAGGGGGACAAAATGGGGATGGGGGAGAAAATGGGGACGGGGGGACGAACTGGGGAGAGGAGGGACAAAATGGGGACAAGGGGGACAAAATGGGGGCAGGAGGGATGAAATGGGGACAGAAAGGACAAAATGGGGACAATGGGAACAAAATGGGGGCAATGGGGACAGGAGGAACAAAATGGGGGCAATGGGGACAGGAGGGACAAAATGGGGGCAATGGGGACAGGATGGGGACAAGGGGACCCAAAGCCCCTCTGGGGTTTCCCCCGCCCCAGGAAATTCCATCAGAGCTGGGATTTTTGGGGATTTTGTCCTGAGGGTTTGGGGCTCTCCCGCCCCTTGCCTGGGGTTCCCTTCTGCTCTCCCTCCCTGGAACCCCCTTTTGGGGACACCGGGGGGACACTGGGGGACACTGGGAACATCAGGGACATTGGGGGACATTGGGAACATCAGGGACACGGGAGACCCCCAATTCCCGGTTTTGGGGTCCCCCTGGGTCCCTCTGGGGCCGAGCCTGACCCGGGGCCTCCGGGGAGCCCCCAGGGCAATTCCCGAATTTGGGGCGCCGTGAAGGATTCGGGCTCGGTCCCGGCGCTCGTTTCAGTGCTCAAGACGTTAATTAGCTGCCGTTAATTAGCTCGGGGTAGCAGCGATAAACACGAGGCCGTTTTCCTGGGAAAGCCTGGAGGATTCGGAAAATGAATTTTTTTTTAAATTTCCCGGGTTCCAAACGTGCAAAGAGGGAGGAGTTTGATGGGCGGTGAGGACACGACCCCAAAATCCCCCCAAATTCCCCAAAATTCCCCAAAATGACCCAAAATTAATGTGCTAGAGCCACAAAAATAATTAAAAAAATAATTTCAAAAGCCACGCCGGGATTTCTCACCACAACTTTGGCACGGAGCCGCTCCCGGGGCGGGGAGGAGGCAAAAAAAATGAAAATAAAAAAAAAGGAACAATCTCATTTTAAAATATTTTCGTTCTGGGAAACATTCGGTGGCTTTAATAACCCCGTTTCCGCTGTGAGTGTTGGTGTTGTTAATCTGAAATAAAAATGTTCCCCCCGCGCTCGTGGCAGCGGCCCCGAGTCCATCAATCAGCGCGGCCAATCCTGGGCCTGGGTTCTTTATTAGGATTATTATTATTATTATTATTTTATTGGTATTGTGGCGCGAGTTTTTAATGCGCCGCCCTGGCGATTTTCCACTCCCATCTCAGCCGGGGCTGCTCGGGCCCCGGGGGGGTTTGAAAGGGGGGAAAAAATCAAAATAAAAGGGGGAAAAAAAATCAAAATAAAAGGGAAAAAATAAAATGAAAGGGAAAAAATTAAAATGAAAGGGAAAAATATCAAAATAAAAGGGAAAAAATCAAAATAAAAGGGGAAAATCAAAATAAAAGGGGAAATTATCTAAATAAAAGGGGAAAAATCAAAATAAAAGGGGAAAAATGAAAAGGGAAAAATTAAAATAAAAGGGGAAAAAATCAAAATAAAAGGGAAAAAAATAAAATTAAAGGGAAAAATATCAAAATAAAAGGGAAAAAATCAAAATAAAAGGGGGAAAATGAAAAGGGAAAAATTAAAATAAAAGGGGGAAAATCAAAATAAAAGGGGAAAATCAAAATAAGAGGGGAAAAAATCAAAATGAAAGGGGAAAAATTAAAATAAAAGGGAAAAAATTAAAATAAAAGGGAAAAATATCAAAATAAAACGGGAAAATATCAAAATAAAAGGGAAAAAATCAAAATAAAAAGGAAAAAAAAGAAGATTTCTGCCCTGTGAGCTCAGCAAACTCTGGCTCTTCCCGAGTTCCTCCCACGCCGGGAGCGTGGATGGAGAAAAGTGGGAAAAAAGAGAGAAAATCGCGGTTTTTTGGAGTGGGGGAAGGAGGGAAAAGAGGAACAAACAAACACGAAGTGGCTGGGCCAAACCAGGGACCAGCTCCTTGTGCTTTGTTTTCCTTCTTGGTTTGCTTTGTTTTCCTTTTTGTTTTGCTTTGTTTTTCCCGGTTTTTAATTCATTCCCCCGCCCCTCCCCGCGGCCTTTGTTTTGATTTTGGGGTTTTTTTTTGGTTTTTGGGGTTTTTTTGGTTTTTTCCTCATTAATTCTCCTCTCGGGGGCGGGGCCGCTCGCGCTCCTCCCGCACCCCCGGGCGGGGCTCGCCCCATCTCTGATTTTTTTTTTTTTTTGGGCAAAAAAAGAAGAATTTTGGGGTTTCCCACCCCGCGAACAGCGAGGAGGAGGCGGGGAGAGCAGCGAAGGCTCCGGGACCTCGCGGAACCCCGGACAGAAGCGGGCGGGATGAGAAATCCAAGTTTTTGGGTTGTTTTTCATGACAGATCGGAGTTTTTTCCTCGCGCTGACCTTTGCTGGGAGCAGCAATAATTCACCCGGTTAATGATCAACGCGGGGAAGCGCTTTGGGGCTGGCTCCCAAAACAGAAAACAAAAAAAACACCCCAAAATCAAAATAAAACCAAAAAAACCCCACCCCAAAATCAAAATAAAACCAAAAAAACACCCCAAAATCTAAATAAAACAAAAAAAAAACACCCCAAAAAATCAAAATAAAACAAAAAACCCCAAAAATCAAAATAAAACCAAAAAAACCACCCCAAAATCAAAATAAAACCAAAAAAACACCCCAAAATCTAAATAAAACAAAAAAAACACCCCAAAAAATCAAAATAAAACAAAAAACCCCAAAAATCAAAAGAAAACCAAAAAAACCACCCCAAAATCAAAATAAAACCAAAAAAAACCACCCCAAAAGTCAAAATAAAACAAAAAAACACCCCAAAAATCAAAATAAAAAAAACACCCCCAAAATCAAAATAAAACAAAAAACCACCACAAAAATCAAAATAAAACCAAAAAATCCACCCCAAAAATCAAAATAAAACAAAAAAAACACCCCACCAGCTCCATCCCGCCTTTTTTCCTTCCATTTTTCATTTTTTAAATTTTTTCCCCTTCTAATTTTCATTTTCCCCCTTTTTTTCTCTTTGACACAAACGGGGAGAGCGGCAGCGCCAAGCACGGCTCTCAAATCCGGGAGAAAAAACGGGATAAAATCAAAATAAAACCAAAAAATCCACCCCAAAAATCAAAATAAAACAAAAAAAACACCCCAAAATCAAAATAAAACAAAAAAAACCCCACCGAAAAATCAAAATAAAACCAAAAAAACCGGCCCCAAAACCACCCCCCGGATGGGGGCACACGGACACCCAAAAATCCAAGGATTTTTTTGGAAAACGCAGAATTTTTTGGGGATCCCCAGGATTTTGGGGACGCCCAAAAATCCCAGGGTATTTCAGAGGCTCCAAAATTTTTTGGGGCACCCAAAAATCCCCGCCGGGCCCCACAGGGGGGGAGGGGAAGATTTTTTGGGGGGGTTTGGGGGGCAGGGAGGGGAATCCCCACCCCCCTTCCCTCCCCTCCCCTTTTTCCCCAAATCATCGCTGGAATTCTGCGCCCACGTGACCCAACACGTCAAAGTTTTGGGTTTTTTGGGGTTTTTTTCCCATTTCAGCGAGAATTGGGAATCCCAGGAATGACAAACGGGGAGAGCGGCAGCGCCAAGCACGGCTCTCAAATCCGGGAGAAAAAACGGGATTTAGGGTCAGGGGAAAAGGAAAATTTGGGTTTTTTTCTGCCTCCCAAATCCTGGGGATGGCCCCGGCGCGGAGGGGGCGGTTCCCGGTTTTTCCCCATTTTTTTCCTATTTTTTAACCCCCCCCCCTCTTTTTCCTCCTCTAAAAGATAAAAAAAATAGGAGGGGAAAAAATAAAAGAGGGGGAAAATGAAGATTTAAAGCTTTTCTCCTCAACGCTTTTCCCACGGCCGTTTTTGAGCTGAAAAGGAGGAATTGGGTGAATTTTATTTTATTTTTCTTTGCAGGAATCCTCGCTGGATCCCGGGATGAGCCAGGAAGGAGCCGCGTTTCCTTTTCACCCCAAAAAGACAAAAATCCGCAGGAAGGATCCCGGCAGAGGGAAAAGCGGCGCCAAGAAATTCAAATTTTTTCACAGCCAGGATTTCTCCACCGCAGCCAAAACCAGCCCCACAACCACCCGCGCCCGGCTCTTTTTGGGGTTAAAATCCGATTTTTTGGTTGTTCTGGGCGTCCTCATCAGCGCTCCCGAGCTCGGGGTTAATCTTTAATGGGGGCAGCGAAAGGGTTAAATCCCATTCCTGACAAATCCGGGAGAAAATTCCCGCGGCTTTCACCAAAATTGGAGCATCCCGGCACCCCCAGGAACTGCAGCAACGCGCAGGAAAATCCCAAAAAAATTCATTTTTCGGTGCTCAACCCCCGTAAAAAAACTTCTCCTGAGCTCCCTGGTGCACAGAGAGATCGGGAATAAAATCGGGATTATTTTGGGGAGATGGGAGAAACTCCAGCTTAGGAAAGGGGGGAAATCACTCAAATAATTCCCCAAAATTCACTGTCCCGAAGAGCGCAGAGCCCGCCCGGTGGAGGATCGGAAAATGTTCATTAACATCGACCCAGCCCCGCCGAAACTCTGATTTACGGTCCAATCCATTAAATCAATTAAATCAATTAAATCGATCAAATCGCGGCCGCTCAGGGCCTGCGCGTTCTCCGCGGGTTTCGAGCGCTCGGGTGAAAAAATAACAAATAAATAAAAGAAATAAATTAAAAATTCGAGTTGGGCTGGCGGCGAACGGGGATGATTCCGAAACCGGAGACAGCGACTTTCAGAAAATGAGAAAATAACCACAATAATGATAAAAATAAAGAAATAAAAAGGGGAAAAAGCGGAGAGGAGCCGGTGGAGCTGCTGCCGGCGCAGCTTCTGGCCTGGGGGATTTCCCGAGCCCGCAGCTCTCCCTCTTCCCCCACGGATGAGGAATTTTCCGCCGTTATTTTCCCTCTGCGGAGGGCGAGGAGCCAGAGGAGAGCAGAGAGCACAAAAATATTCGAGTTTAGACCCAAACTTTGCCGCTGTAATTCGATTTTCTGAGCTTTTTGGGTTGTTTTTTTCCCTTTTCCCCGACGTACAAAGGATTTTTCTGTCTCGCCTTTAACATCGCGTCCGGCCTTCCCCGGGGGAGGAGGGACGGGGATTTTTTATTTTTAATTTTTTTTTTCCCTGAGACAGAAGTTCGGAGCCGAAATGCACAGAAAAATCCAACCTCGGCCGTTCCCACGCCCTCCCCGCCAGGTCTGGGGGCGTTTTGGCCACCCCTCCCTCTCCCAAAGCCAACATTTCCCAAATCTGAGCTCCTTGAGCCCAAAAAAACCCGAATTTTCAGGAGCCTCAAGCTCCGGACTGGAGAGGGAGAAGCAGCGCGAGCGTGCAGATGTTCGCGGGGCACATCTGGAGGAGGCAACGCGCGCTCCAGCTTGGGAAAACTCCTTTTTTTTCCTATTTTTTCTCCTTTTTCCCCGCTTTTTGTTGGCATTAGGGTTTGCTCCGAGTAAACAAAAAACTCGGTGGGGCCATAAATCACCGGCGGGCGTCGTGCGCTGGGACTGCCGCTTTCCCAAAGCTTTTTATGGCGTTTTTTGGGGGCTTTTTGGCCTTTTTTTCTTCTCAAACAACACAGAAGGCGAGAAATCTTTAACAAATGCGTCCCAGGGAAAAAAAATAAAAGAAAATGACTTTTTTGGGGGGGAAAACCGCGTTTGGAAAGGAGCTGGTGCCGGTTCTGGATAATTTTTTGCTCCTCTTCAGCCTCGGCGTGAATTTGAGGCTCTGCTGAAGCTTTGTCCGAGCGCTCGGAGCAATTAATTAAACTCGCGGCCCTGGCCGCGTTTATTGATTTATTTTTTTGAACTTCTTACCTGCGAGACTCCCGGACTCCGAGGAGAAGGAGGAAAAGCCGGCTCGGGGTGGAGAGGATTCCTCACTGGAGCAGGAAAATTAAGAAGAATCTCATTTATTTCACCCCCGCCCCAGGGCGGTCGGGTTGGGAATTTATTTTTTTTTTTTCCCTCAAAGGTGTTTTGGATTTTTTTTTTTAATTTTTGGGTTTGTTGGGTTTTTTTTTTTTTTTTTTTTTTTTGACTCGTTCGGTTCGAACAGAACGGATTGGAGGTGGAATAAAAAAATAAAAATTCACTCAAAAAACCTCAAATTGTGGCAAGGGTGAGGATGGGGGGAGAGCGCTCGTTCTGCTCTGGGAAAAACCCAAAAAAACGGGGAAAAAACTCCCAAAAAACCCAGAAAAAACCCCTCCCTCAGTCCCGGCCGGCCGGGATCGGCCCGCAAAGCTGTTTCTCTTTATGAAGACTTAAAAATGTTGCAAGAGGGAGGACCAGTGAGTGACAAGGGGTGCTGGGGAGAAGGGAACCAAATGGATTCTGCTTTTTCGAGCCAGTAGGAATTGGCCAGCCTTCAGTGTCAGGGCTGGAAATTGATTCCATATGTCTCGGGAAAAGGGGAAAAAAACCCCGAGGAGAGCGAGGGAGGGAGAGAGGAGCGAGCGGGGCAGGGAGGGGAGTTGGAGCTCTGCGAACCCGTCATTAACGGCGTTAATAACTTTAATTAAAGTCATTTCAACGGGGTTTGGGGGCTCTTTCACCCCCCAGGCCGCTGGCGGTGAATCCCACGGTTAAATCCCCCCTTTTCCGGGGGTTTTTGGGATTTTTTGGGTACCAGAGAGGGGAGAGCTCCCGGGAGCCCCAAATCGAGGTGGTTTTAACCCAGAGCGGGGAGAGGGGATTGGGAGCCGGGCGCGGATCCCGCTGCCCAAAACCCGCCGGGAATTTGGGGCGAATCTCGCCATTCCCGAGAAAAAGGCAGCAGGGGGTGGGGAGAGGGGCTGGGGGGGCCGGGGGGGTCCCATCGCCGCCAGAATCCCCCGAGGCTCCCGAGCTCCGAGCGCGCCGCCGAGGAAATCCCCGGCGGGTTTCACATCCCGGGGATTTCACATCCCAGGGATTTCTCCTTAACCCCTCCCCTCGCATCGGCGCTAAAAAACAAAGAAGGAAAAAAAAAACAGGGAAAAAAAAAGGAGTCAAATCGGCAGCCCGGCTCTGATTTATAGCCCCGCTTTTCATCTGGGCCCGGCTGCGAGCGGCGAAGTGTTGGAACGCCCTTGTTGCCTTTTATTCCTCCCGTGTCCCCCTCCCTTCCCTCCTCCCCGCGCGGCCAAAAAAAAAAAAAAAAAAAAAAAAAAAACTTCAAAAAAAAAAAGAAAAACCCCCCCCCCCGCCGAAGCCCCCCCCGCGAAGCCAC